GCCAGCACGCGCGGCGACACGCAGGCGCCCTCGAGGCTGGCGGCGCCCGCCGCCGCGCCCGCGCCCGCGCCGCGCGCCTCCGCCACCATGTACAGCGTGTCGGGGATGCGGTGCACGTAGCGCGTGCGCCGCGCCAGCGCCACCTCCGCCTCGGGCACCGCCTGGTGCTCCAGCAGCGCCTGCGCCGACGCAAGGGTCAAACGCTTTCGTTCGCGTTTCATGCACGTTTTAAATTAACTCCCTCTTTTATTTACCTCCTGTATTTCTTAACTTCGCTTTTAAATTTACAATCAACGAAACGGTACAATGTCCTACACCTGTACACTTTTTCGTACATAACAATTCGACGTAAGCGACTGTACCGATCCAATCGCGCTTTTACATCAATGCAATCACAAAAAAATAAATACAATAGAAGTGGTTGATTAGCATCCGACGCGTGTTGGCACGCGTATAGACCTCGAAAGACCTATCTAAGTCCGCCATTTTCGCTTTGTATGGTATGGTTGCGTTATTCTATCGTACAAATTCTCCAAAATCCTCCTGTTTTGGAGACCAAACATTATAGCCGCACCAAAAACATTACCCGTAACGGTATTTCATATCATCGGAAAGCCTTATTTGAATAAATTTTCAATTTTCTGTTAATCGAAATCATTTTTTTGTTACAAAACACGAAAGTAAAACTTTACCCCCGCAATATTGTCGTTTCTTTTTCGGACAACTAACTTAACAACTCCACTTCATCGTCGTTCAGCAATCAACCGCTAGATGACAGCACATTGATTGAAATTGAATTATAATATCTAAACGTCGTAACTTGCAATATTAATAGTATTGAATTTTCAACAATATGCCAACAGGGTAAAGTTTAAATTATATTAACAATTCAGAATTTCAATCAACCGGTTCGGGGACAAAATACCGGGTGTTAATAGTGCACAAATTGTACCTTGATCTCGTCTAAATAAGGCAAAAAACACCGCGGGGGCCTGTAAGACCCCCTGCCGAGCCACGCGTCGGCCGCGGAGCCTTCTTCGGCGAGTTGCGGTGGGGGTTGGGGCAGGATGCCTCGTCGGATCGCCTGGAACACGAATACATATATTCATATACCAACTACATAATGTGAAAAGGCAAATTCAACTAATACGCACATAATATTCGATAGTTCCTAATTCTTTATTTTGACCTGACATTTGTGAAATGACATTAGTGAAATGTTTTTAACACAGACCACATAAATACTAGTAATAGATTGGTTAATGGGTGGGGTTCGGGTTACCTAGCTTATGACCAGAAGGTCGTATGAGTGTGAACAGCGCGTCAGTTGTCTTTCAAATGTGATACATGATTATTTTGAGGAGAAAATAGAAATATGCCGAATTCTATATATTATGTCGCGTAAGAAGCCAAAGTTTAAAAAATACTCCAGGAGTGATTTCATTTCATCGGTAAGTACTAAGACTGTATTTTTTATTATTTTGACCAATACGATAGTATAATTTTGAAACAAAACTATTTTCTTGCAACCCGGTAATAACAGTATACATTGGGTGACGGGTGTAGTGGCAGTGTCACTACACAGGCGTGTTGTTCGTTCCGTTATTGAGTATTATTTATATAAAAAAACAGTTTGGCTGCAGAAACGGGCAAGTCACGCAACGCACCTGCTGCAGCTGGTCGTGGTCGGGCGGCAGGTGCTCGGTGCGCAGCAGCGGCAGCAGCGGCGCCAGCAGCTCGCGCAGCGCGGCGTCGGACACGTCGCGGCGGCGCTGCGCGCGGTGCGTGTGCCACACGACGTTGGGCTCGCGCTCGGGCCGCGCCTGCGCCTGCGCCGCGCGCTCGCCCCAGCGCAGCAGCGCGCGCAGCGCCTGCGCCTCGCTGGCCTGCAGGAAGGGCGACGCCAGCGCCGCGCCCAGCGCCGCCAGCGGCAGCCGCGCCGCCGCCGGCGCCGCCATCGCCAGCGGGAACTCGTCGCGCAGGTAGCGCATGGCCTGCCTGCGCGCCCGGAAACGCTCGGTCAGGGCGGTCGACAAAATGCTGGCATTCCAGACTCGCGCGACGCGGTAGCAACGTAAAAATTGTAACTATATTTCTTTTATTAAAAATAAACGCGCATTTCACCTTTCGCCGCCAAATTCTTGTAACCGTTATCTACTTTTCAACCGACTTTAAAAAAAAGAAAAAAGAAGTATTATAATATTTGTGAACGGGATTTCAATAATTCTTTTTTTTTGTCGAAAAAGAAGTACCTACCTCACAGGTCCCATTTAAATTTCAAGAAAATGGCAAATTAAACAATGAATACGATTTCGCGCGCTTTCCGATAATCGATTTTAATAAAATTTCTCAAATGGATGTAATTCCACAAACTTTCAGTACCGTCGAGCCACCACGGTCTGTTATTAATGATTATAAAACAAAATTGAAACAATTAAATAATTAAGGTATTTTCTTTTTACGATACACGTGAAACAGAAACCCGAAACCGGTGAAAGGCATTACTCACCTATGCACCCATTGACTGGCATGAGTGTTGGCCGCCCAGCGTAACACGAGAGGCAGTGTTTCTGGTGAAAGAGCTTCGACAATCGCGTCCTCACAGCCTTGCACTACTATTGGCATTTCTAGAAACCTGTAATTGAATAATTATTTGTAACATCAATCCACTTATACGTCTCTCTGCTAAGCATAGGTCTTCTTTCAGGAAGGTTTGGGCCATTAGTCAGCCAACCTTTGGGGATTTCAAACGTTTTCCGAGGTTTGTCAACCTTCTTCGACGGGTAGGTTTTATCACGATATTTTCCTTCACAGAAAATCTTTTTTTATGTAAAGAATGAGGCAAAGGAGCAGACATCGAGTTATAACCAGAAATAGAGACGAAATGTCATTCCATTCGTTTGAAAACTATTCTGCCATATCATTACTGTGACAACTGCGCTCCGATTGGCCAGCCCGAGTTCGAAACAATTCACGGGTGTCGTCAATGGAGGTCGTCAATTGTTTCACTTCAAATGGACCAGTTAACTTGAGCTTTGTTATAATAGAGGAAAATTGCAAAATTATATAATATTTAATTACCGATGAAATGTGATTCCGTTTGTTTTGTAATTAGATACCACCGAATAGAACAGCACGGCATTGTTAGAGATATTATCTTTATTACAATAAATATAGAATATTTTTGGAATATACGGAGACGTACTCACAGGTCAGTAGTTGGCCTGTCTATATTTCAGTGCAAACGAGAGTTGATAATTATAAGAGCTGTATCGCTAATGTGTTACCAGGAATATATGTCCCTTATTTCGTCTCTATTTCTGGTTATATACTCGATAAGAGCAGATAAGCCACTTGATGGGAGGTGGTCATCATCGCCCATGGACATTTCCAACATCAGATGAGCTGCCTATGCGTTGCCAGCCTTTGAGGGCCCTGTGAACACGCTTTTTGAAGACCCCGTGTCATAGCGCAAAGGAAATACTTCATGAGGAAGATCACTCCACACCTTGCAGGTTGTAGGAAGGAACGAACGAGATGCCCACGTGGTCTTACAATGCCAGGCATCTAAGATCTAGTCCTTTGGCGAGAGGTGCGATGGTGGAAACGAGACGGTGGCACTAAAGTTCCTCAGAGCACTCCCCATTATAAAAATGGTAGCACACACACAGAGAGCCAACGTCCTCCGAAGGCCAAGGGGCTCCATACCGCCTGTGAGTCAGGGATCACCGACAATATGAACAGTCCTATGTTGGCTGGAGTCAAGGGGAAGTTGGTATTTTTTATTTATCTCACGGTAAATTTCAAATTAAATTTTACACGTAAACTCCTAGAAACTCGGTAGTGTGAACCTGGTTTCGAAGCCACGGCCTCTGCTTGAGAGCCAGAAGGTCAAACTATTACGCTGTCACGGCTTCTCTTATATGAATAAATAATTATTTAGTACGAATTAACTGCGACAACTTTCAAATTATAAGGCCACTCCCGTACATTTCTACTCAAGTTCTGTTTATAGTGGCCCTCCCTAGCGACCCTTATGTATTACCAGTATGTCGTGACGACAGTTAGTTGTGCAGTTTAAAGTGTCGTTGGCTTGTATAAAATAGAATAAAAATAGTTTGACATGCAATACAATGAAAAGAATATGCAAATTAATAATAATAATAATAATAATAATAATAAAAACACGTCAAATGGGTCCATGACTCAGCTACAGAAGACAAAGAAGTGTATTGTCCCAACTGATATTCTGCCATAGCACTTAAAAGTCAGGAAAACAAAGAAATATATATAATTAATCATGTAGCACACACATAGGCGTCAGAATACACTAATAATTAAAATGCAAAATACTATTATAATTCCAAATGATTAAAAACCAATACAACAAGACACGAATTATAGAAAACCTGCATCTCATATACTTAAATGAAGTTGTTTACATATAGTACAACACGATTAACTGTCGTACACGACTTTTTAATGGCTACGACGACAGACTGTCGTGACAGTGGGAAGTGCTAGAACGAGTCGTCTGACGATAAATAAATCGTCTTGATAAAAACATGACGACAGATAATCGCAGCTACTAATGTCGTCATGTTTTATTTATCGTTGTCTGCACGTGTTCTGTTACCTACTTTCCTCTCTCGTCTCTCGCGCCCTCTGCTGTGCATCAAACGATTCTGTAGTGCACACGATAAGGCGGCTGCCGTGAACTGATAAATCGTCACGATCCAGTAAGAATAGCTAGACACGACAGTCGTTCAACGACAAATAAAACGTCCACGACACACTCACGATAGGCTGTCGTGATATGGGAACAATAACGACAAGACAGATCAACCCGTTTACACAGATTTCATCCGTTTCTCAAAAGGCTAGTGCCTCGGGTGAGCTGCCCCGGGTGCACGTACAGTATCCTCCCTATTTACCAGGTACGTACCGAAGCTATTGGCACTTGGTACATTTTCTAGAGTCGGTTTAACCACTAAGTTTTCTTTCACTATTCGAGAGAGGTATTGCAAGTAAACGTTCAGAAATATAATATAACTTAGAAATGAAGCAGCATGAAACGTTTAGCGAGGCAAAGACGTGCAGCAGTTACCTGGCGATCTCGTAGAGCTGGAAGGCGTCCTCGAGGGCTGGATGCGAGGAGCCGCGTTGCAGAGAGCCTCCGCCCCCGCCCGGACCCCCGCCGCCGCCCAGAGCACCGCCGCGCGCCGCGCCCGCCCACGCCTGCGCACAGCCACGACCGCCCTTTACATTTATTTCTCCACAGGAAGCTTCTTAGTCAACATCAAAAATTAAATATAATCTTTGGTGAAAACATAAAGCACGAACATCATGATAATAAAAACATTGTCAGATATTCTTCTTTTTCATCACACTTGCACGTAAAAGTATGATTGCATGCAGGCTAACTTGACCACAATGCCCCAAATAAAACCCTCGGGCCTTTTCAGGGCTTTCCTTCTCTTTACACGACCATGGATGTAATGAGATAAAAAGGCCCGAGGGTTTTAATTTCACCAGCGCCCTTACCCTTCAAAACCGAAAGATAGTAATGCTTACACTAACTGCATGGCGGCAGAAATAGGTAAGGTGGCCGTAATTCTCTGGACGAACTCTTTAACAAGGAGCTCCACTGCGTACTAAAGCTGACGACGAGGATTAAAATACAGAGATATGCCGCCACAAAGTTATCCAAAACGGGTGATTATTAAGTCACAAAATTTATCTTGTGCATTTATGTAAAGGGAAGAAATCCCTTTCAGATATTACTTCACCGCTTACTTTGACCTTGGCGCAGAGTAGCAGTGATATCAAATTTAAAAAAAACTCACCACATTACTGCTGGCCGTGCTGTTCGTTGACGACGGCGATGGCGAATTCCTGCCTATTAAAGACAGGTCCACCTGAAAGAAATGTCATCATACGATCAAACCAATTGGCCTTTTTCTCAATTGCCATTATGCTCTTAGCACTGATTACTTAATAGTTACTATTAATAGATACATCACTCTCATACAAAATCCAAAATACCAGCGCTATAATAGACTACTAAATCTGACTAATGACACCAGGAGCTCACTACAAGGAATAATGGACCTAAACACGCGCTCAGAGAGGTGAAAGCAATGTTGCCCGCCGTATGAACGCCTCATAAATGAAAGACTTGTATGAGCGCTTGTACCGACGTCAATACACTCAGCGGTAGGAACTTATCGCGTAACCTTGAGCGAGTGACGGAGCCCTGCTCTTACTTTACATCACTGCTCAAAACTTTCGCAAAATATTGGCACACATATGGCCAATATTGGCAAACACGCTTTGACCAACATTGGTACTCATATAGTGGCCATCGTTGAAACACATACATTGGCCAATTATTTGCCCAACATAGACACAAACTTCACTCAGCTAAGGCACACATGCTACGGCCAGAATGAATGCACAAAATTTGCCCAACATTGGCGCACATATTCTGACCAACACTGGCAAGTACACAGAATCCAGCAATGGCGATGAGTGAATATTGTAATAAGACAATGAAAAAGGGATGCAGCAAATACAAAAATGCAGAACACTGATGTTTAATACTTACCACTATTTTTTTATAAGTTAGTCGATAAAATTTAAATTCTGTATAATTTACTAAAATAGACAATAATCTAGCGCCCACAGTGCTAACCGCTAGATCTAGGTATCTGGAAGATATCAAGAGACAACCACAAGTACGCGATACCGTAAACATCGGCTCTTTATTGTTTTAAATTCTAAAAATTGTAATAAAGTAATAGAAGTTTAAAAGTGCAAAAATCATAAAACATACTTAATAAATATTCTGTGTGGGTGTTTGTGACTATATCCAAATCGTATTTACGAGATTTTTTCTAAAATTGACCGAGAACAATAACTTATTACTAAGAGGACATTTAAACCTGTTAAGAACTAATCTATAACAACAATATACATTTTAAAATGATAAACAAACATAGTTATAAACATTAGTGTGTACAACGAAAGTAAATACTATATTTAAAGTTGTTTTTAAATAAGATAAAGTATGTAAGTGAACATTGATAGCGGTTTTAAGTGAACTTTGACAAGTAAATACCCGCCTATTTAGCGTCAACATAAAAAAAAATAAATCTACGAAGTGATGAACAATTTTGCGAACACTAATTACAAACCATTTGGCTCTGCGGTCACCAGTATGGACTGTTGATTCGAAGTTGTGAGTTCGAATCTCAGTGATAAATAAATTACTTTTTTTTTTTTTTTTTTCCTTTTTTCTTCTTATTAATCTGTCCTTGTAACCATGATGTTACGTAATACCAAAATTAAAGCTGACCTGGAAAACAAACTGAGTCTTGCGCTAGAAGAACTTAAAAATGCCAAAACACTATGCGGTCAGCTCCTTGAGGAACGCGAGGACAGCGAGCGAAAGATTAAGACAGTGGTGGAAAGACATACTGCCCTAAAAAATGAGTTGGCGGAGTTACACATCCGGTACTTGGACGTAGTGGAACAACGCGACCAACTTCAGCGCCAAGCAGCCGAGTTCACGGAGCGCTCTGTTGTTTTTGAAGCAACATTAGTGCACCTGGATATGGAATTGAGCGAAGCTAGGACTCAAGTTTCACTTCTGGAGAAAGAGCAAAAGCTGGAACAAAATCTGGAGCAAAAGCAGGTTCAAACCTCGAGTGGTACAATAGAATTGACTGCTTCAACTATGGGTAGAACAGAACAATCGAAAAGGACAATTTTAACTAATAAACTTCAACTTAAATCTAAGAACATTCACAGAAGAACGTTGAAGCAAATTAGGAAGGGACAGGGTAGCATAAAAAACCTTAAAAAACAAGTTACCAAGCTACAGAAGCAGAATAAAAAACTACAGTACGAAATTTCAACCAATGACTTCAAGAAATTAATAACATGCGACCAGAGTGATATAATAGGTAATACAATGCCAGAGAAAGGAAATAATGGCGAAGAAATTAAGAAACAAAAGGAACCGCTTAAAAGACCACATAAGGAGCAAAATATAATAATTTTTTCTGATGATTATGGAGTTGGACTGGGTTCATGTCTTCAACAAAATATAAAAAATAGTAACGCAAATGTTACAAACATTTGTAAACCGGGAGCGACGTGTGACAAAATTTTAGAAGGTTTTGATAATATAGTAAAATCTCTGGATTCGCGAGACACGGTTATTATATTTATAAGCAAAGTAAATACATACAATACACTGTCTTATGTTAAACAAATAGGAAAAATAGTAAGCAACAAAGAACGTAAATTTAAAATAATATTATGTAGCACCATATTAGACAACTATTGTAATTCTGTATTAAATCATAAATTCTCACAACTAGCAACAACCTCCGAAAAGGTGATGTATGTAGAACTAAATAATGGATTCAAAAGGAGTAAAAAAATATGTCATCATACGATACATAGCAGTATAATAAACTTTAAATGCACATCATCTCTAACTTTCATAAAATGTGAAGAAAATTCAAGCAATAGTGCTTTAAATTTTCAAGCAAGTCCCGAGAACCCCGGGATAAAATAAAGGTGCTGCATGCTAATTTGTGTAGTATAGGAAATAAATATTTAGAATTAGAACTTCTGTGTAATGACACGGATTCTGATGTAGTTTGTGTCACAGAGACGTGGACGAAAGATGCACATCTGGATGTCATGATAATTGAAAATTATGAATTAGCTAGTTTTTATAACCGTAAATTGTTCAACCATGGAGGAACCGCTATATTTGTCAAAAAGAATACAGACTACAAAGTACGTAATGATCTAAATAGATTGACTTTTGAAATGAACTGTGAAATATCTGCAATAGAGTTAAAACCATCAAAAATTGTTATAGTTTGTTTGTACAGACCGGGTCGTGACTTTGATATATTTTTTGACATACTATCCAAAATATTACACATAGTGAATAGAGAAAGGAAAAACATTATAATAGCAGGTGATTTTAATTTAAATGTATTAATACTGAAAAAAGAAATCCAAAGATTAAATACGACTTTAAAAAGCTTTAACTGTAATTATGTCATTCGTGAGCCCACTAGAACTAAAGGGAAAAGTGCAACATGCTTAGATAACTTTATAGTAAATTCTGATGTCAACTGTGAAGGTAAAGTTCTCAGAAAATTATCGGATCACAATTCTATTTTGTTAATATATGATATAGTTAAACAAATATTGAAAAAAAAAGACAATATCAAATATGGAAGATTATTTTCGGAACAAAACTGTAATTATTTTCACTACTTATTTAAAAAGGAACTGGAATCTGTAAAATACAATATTTACTTAAATATTGATTGTAATAAAAAAATTAAGATATTGTCTGAAGCAATATTATTTTGCTATAATATTGCGTTCCCTATTAAAAGATTAACTGTACGCAAAAAGAAACAAAAATTAAATACTAAGGGAATACATACTTCTAAAGATACGTTATCGAAAATGGAAATTCTTCAGGATTTTGCGCCATGTGAGAATAGAGAAAGAAAAATAAAAAAGTATAGAAAGATTCTTAGAAAAGTGTTAACAACCGCTATAAAAGTTAATTACTCACACCGTATACATAAAGCCAAAAATAAAATACGAGAAAGTTGGAAAATAATAAATGAACAAGTAAATAAAAAGAGAACTACATTACAAGTGATAGACGAAATAAAGAATGAAGAAGGTACTATTATAAATGACCCAAAAAAGATTGCTGAATTATTTAATAGCTTTTTCTTAAACATAGCGCACAGACTGAGTAGTCATTTAAATATTGATTTAACGAAATGTGATAATTATTTGCGTAATGTTACTAAAACAAACACAACAATTTCATTTTCAACAATGGACACAAATGACATTAGACGAATTATAATTAAATTAAATGACAAGTACACAAAAGATGTATATGACATGTCTACACATATAATTAAAAAGATAGTTTTGGGGAATGACGATTTATTGAGCTTAATTTGTACAGTTCTAAATTCTTGTATTACCGAAGGTGTTTTTCCAGATATGCTCAAAATAGGGCGTGTGGTTCCTCTTTATAAAAATGGTGATAGATTGATGATTAACAATTATAGGCCTATTTGTGTTCTACCCGTCTTATCGAAAATTTTAGAAGCGACTTTAAAAGATCAAATTGTATCTTATTTCGAAACAAATAATTTATTCACGCTAGCACAATTTGGTTTCAGAAAAGAAAAATCTACAGAAATGGCTATTAGAAACGTAATTTATTATGTACTGGAGGCCTTGGACAGGTCTCAGAAGAGCGCAAGCGTATTCTGTGATTTATCGAAGGCTTTCGATTGTTTGAGATACGACATACTGCTCAATAAATTGGAATTCTACGGTTTCTCTGGAACTGAACTAAATATAATCAAGTCATATCTTTCAAATAGATCACAAATTGTAACCATAGCAGGAACAAGCTGCTCACCCGGCTGCAGCAGTATAGGCGTCCCACAGGGTTCGATTCTTGGCCCGGTACTATTTTTGGTTTATGTAAATGATTTACCGCACGCCTTACCAGATTGGAGCTTCATTAATTTATTTGCAGACGATACTCATGTCGGAGTGAGCGATAGAAGTCTGATAACAGTACAGCACAAGATTAACGAAATCATAAATAGTTTGGAGTCTTGGTTTTGTGCCAATGGTATTATTTTAAATAAAGAAAAAACAAAAGTTGTAAATTACAGTACAAAGAAAAATAAAGATTGTGGAACAAGTTGTCAAGAAACCGTCTTTCTGGGCTATACTGTCGATAACACTCTGAGTCATGCCTCTCACATAAACAAACTTAATAATAAAGTATCTAACGCGAACTATGTATTAATGAAATTAAAACCCTTAGTCGATAAAAAAACATTAATTAATGTCTACTTTGCATATGTCCATTCACTTTTAAGTTATGCAATTACTGTATGGGGTAACGCAAATGACATAAAATCTGTACTAATCAGTCAAAAGAGATCAATTAGAATAATAAATGGTCTACGTAAACGTGAGTCAGCGAAACCATATTTTGTAAAAAATAAAATAATGACAGTGATTTCTTTATATATTTATAAAAGTTTACTAGAAGTTCACAAGAGTAGAGAAGAAGGGAAATTGATAAAAAATAGTGACATCCATGATCGCAATCTACGAAATAAAGAAAGACTAGCACTACCGTCAACTAGATTAATGAAAACAAGAAAGAACGGCCTGTACAACAAAATTAAAATGTATAATAAATTGCCTCTATCAATAATTGATTTGCCATTTCCTGAATTTAAAAATAAAATAAAGACTTTCTTTGAACAAAAACCATTTTATAATATTAAACAGTATCAACAAATGTTTCTTAACGAAGAAAAATTTTTATGACTATATTATTTTGTTTTGGTTTGTAATTATTAATTATCAGTAATATGTTTATAGACATAAGTTTTTTAGTTTAAGTAACATGTAATTAATTGACGATTTCATGCGTAATTTGTTTGCCTCCGAAATAAACATATTTTGACTTTGACTTTGACTTTGACTTTGACTTATCTAGAAGAGACCTTTGTTCAACACTAATATACCCACCTGGTCGGTATAAGCAGCGTGCAGCAGTGCTCTGGCGAACCTCTGCGGCAGCACCTTCTCGTCAACACAGACTGTGCCAGTATCGGCTCTTCCGTTTTCGCATACGCTGCGCACACGCCGCACCATCACACTTCTAAAAATGTAATCAACACATGAGGTGTGCTGAAGCTCTACTATAAAGTTACATATAACATTATCAGTACCTATGATTGAGTTACAGAAAAAATTTTAATCTTCCCTGTCGTAAGCATGACACGTTTATTTATTCACTCCGAGCTCTACGGCGTGTTTGAATTGGCCGCTGTTAGACGCGTTGCAGCAGCGCTGCAGCCGGGCGGCGGCCGCGCAGTCACGGTTAGTGAGGCTTACATAATAAATTTTTCAAATTGGTCGCACTTCAGCAGCGCGATCGTCGCGCGGCAGCAGCGTTTCTAACAGCGGCTAATTTGAACGCGCCCTTAAATCGCAAAGATCTGAGGGGCACTGTCACTGCGCCCGTCACCCTGAGACATAAGTTGACAAGTCCCAAGTGCCTGTGATTTCACCAGCACAAGTTACAATTAAGTTACAAGTAAAACTGTTCCGCACGTACCTGAAGAACCTAGATCGCGCTGCCAGAATTACTCTGTGGCACCGCATCTCAGTGTTGAACCGAAACCCGAACGACCCTCCCTCCTGTCGAAACACCAACTTCGCGTCTGCGTGCTCGCCTAACACAAAATACAAACATAATTATATAAATGGAAGATAATAAAATAGGAGTTCTGAAAAAGGACATTTTTTAAATATAAAACTCTTGGTACCACTGTTCTTGTCAATTGTTTTACTGCACTACTTGGTACCAGATGGCAAGCACTTGGTATGAAAAGTTAAGTACTTGGTACCCGATGGTAATCACCTGGTATGCAATGTTAAGTGTTTGTTATCCCATGGCAAGCACTTGGTATAAAATGTTAACACTTGGTACGCGACGGTAATAACTTGGTATGCAATGTTAAGTGTTTGGTACCCCATGGTAAGTACTTGGTACCCGATGGTAAGTAACAGGTAATTGTATTTAGAGTATGGTCATCAGTTTCATGATTGGACCATTTTCTTACACAACTTTCTTACCAAAGGCCCTAACAGTTTGATTGTTACAAACAGGGAAATCTTTTGTACTGTGAGAAGCGTTATACAAACCTGAGTCAAGCAAATATTTCATATCTCTATGTAGCGTGTCCAGTGAGAAGCCCAATGTGGCTGAGAGGCGTCGTATGAGATTGCTATCGCGACGGACACCGCACCCGCATATTGATGACGTCTGTCGACATGCTGCAGAAAACAGACCATTATTGTTTTATGCTCTTCTGACCCCGTAGTCTACCGCCTCCATAAAGCTATTATATCCATATTTAGCTCTCAAATTCGAGTGATAAACTTTAAATAAATAATAAATTTAAAAAAATAATATTAAATATATATATATATATAAGATAAATTTTAAAATTTTATCACAATAGCTAACATGATGAGCACCGAGCGCCGCGACCAATGACTGCAAAAGATTAACACAGTGCCAAACATGACTGCAAGGTCAAAGCTAATTTTTAAACATTTTGACAGTTCTGCACCGTAATTATATCAACGTAAAAATTGATATATATATAAATAAGTAGAAAAAGGTGAGAACATTTTAAATACAGTTCAATACAAGAAAGTAATTAGAAATACGTAAATAATAATTAATATAATGTAAAATGTGTAAACACAGAAACTACAAAGTCCGAAATTTTTTGTTTCATCGTTTTGGCGGCGATGACTAAACGACAAAGATAAGCAATTTCATATCGTTGTCCTTGTTCTTATCAACACATATACTGCCATGCTACGGCCACGGTACTCTTAATAATTATTTTCCTAAACCTTCTTACTATCTGAAAATCCACGAGGCTTTCTTTATTAAGTCAGGTTGGTCAAATCATTCACACAACAAGTGACTCTATCACTAAACAAAAAAAACATGTAGCCACCGTCTGTCAGCCAGTTAGAGCCGGTGTCAAAAAAATTGTCATAAGACATATTAATACGTGTGCGTATCTTGTTTGTTACTCACTTCCGGTGTTGTCCACGTTGATGATGTCCAGGTCGTTGTCTGAACCTAGGCCGCCCCATTCTGAAAAAAAAAACCTTCTTTGATGCTAAAAATAACAAAACAGTATAGATATAGCAATAACGCGGGTGCCATGAACATTCACATAGACAACCACAAATTTTAGTAACAGTAGAGCTCCTTGTGAAAGAGCTCGTCCAGGGAAGTACTGCCACCTTAACTATTTCTGGCGCTAAGCAGTAATGTCAGCATTACTGCGTTCCGGTTTTGAAGGGTAAGGGCGTTGGTGAAATTGCAAGCACATGGGACTTGTTATGTCTTAAGGTGACGGGCGCAGTGGCACTCAGAACTGTTATGGACAGGCGTGTAGCTTACCATCAGGTGCCTCCAGCTATGACTAATAGAAGTGTTGCGGAATTAGACATCATCTCACAACACACATACATACACATGCATACAAACACACACACAGTTGCAGTGCCCTTCAGATCGTTGTGATTTAAAGCTCTGAGTGGCACAGCAACTGTTATGGACAGGCGGGTCGCTTACCACCAGGCGCACAACTTGTACCTTCCACAACTTATAACTTGTCCTTTCACTTGGTACCATAAAAAATATTACACCCAAACTTACCATCGAAATAAATATAGGCCATATAAATATTTATCCCGGTCCAAAAGTCGGACCCGGGACTTCTGCGTGGCAAACCAGCATAGTAACTGTTAGACCACCGTGGCAGTCGATGATAAGTGAGATAGCAATGCAATATAGAACGTCGTTGCTACTGAATAAGGAAAAGTGTATGTGTAAGTACGGCAGGGTATACATACGGTAAAAGTCATGATGGTGCGGCTTGCAGATATTGCTGGCTCCTGCGTACAGCGCCACCAGCACCAGCTCCATCTCCTCGCGCGACAGGTTGGCCCCAACTCCATCCAGGGCGACCGTTACTGAACCACTGGGGACATTATGCATAAAACGCTATTATAGATTTCAATTTAATTCATAGTGGTTAAGCCGTTACAAAGAAGATAGTAAGAGTGAGCACCCACCTGGGGTATTTAGCCAGCAGGTCGCGGAAGTAGGAGCAGCGCGAGGCCAGCACGGCGCGATGAGCTCGCACCGACCAGCCGGACCCCACCAGCTCCACGTCGTACCAGCGCCTGCACACCGTTTTGAATAAAACTTATGAAATAGATTTAATTTGAAAAAATGTACATCACTTAGTATATGCTCTATTTAGTCCATTTGATATTAAAAAAAATCATTGGTATATAGTGGTTTTCTCATTGCCCCACCAATAAATGGACATCGGGTTCGCGCTAAAAAGTGTCCGTACCTACAGGGCGTTAAAATCGCATACAGAGCGTCAATCGCGCAACAGTCTTCGTTTGTTCGACTGACTGCGCGGTTGTCAATCATGCAGTACCATATAATAATAACTTGTAAAAATTACTGTAAAGTGTAAAAACAGGATTTTGTATCATATTTTCACTAAACAAATATATTGTGTTATCATAGTTATCATTTAAAAGTGTTATTTTGTACAGTTTTATAGCATTTAATTTATTAAATTTATATATAAATGAATCGTAAATATAAATTACACAAGCACACAAAATAATCATATAGCTAATTGTCCTTTTTCTACACATTGCATGCGCGAAAGATGGAAAGAGACCCATTACGTCAATTTGAAGAAGCTTATATAAACTTCTTGGTCATTTTCAATTGTTCGAACCACTAGCGATTGAAATATTTAGAACAAAGAAACTATAGTCGCTTTGATTTTCATCTAATTTTTAAAATGATTTTTTTAACGTTAGCAATAACTAACAAAATATTGTTGTACTCGTTTTACGGCTCAGGATTACCTATCAGAAGTCAGAAAATACATTTGCCCGAAATAACGTTACCTCGAATTTTCATAATGGCAAATGCATTTTTTTAGGAAGATTACAAAGCAAAAGCTAATTTTGTCTTTGTGAAAAGCATCAAAATTACTCGAAAGCGTAACAATTTTATTATAAATCGGTCTTCAGAATTACGGATATTTGAGTATACGTTTAGTTGGAATGTCGGTACATTTCTTACAGTACATGCTTATTTTCACATTTGTAGTAATATTTGTATGTATGTATCTGCCCAACTCTTTATTATTCCTTCATGTGAATTTGTACAAAATTCGACATAATAATATATAGAAAAATTAATTAATATTTACGATAAAGGCTACTCCATTACTCTTGTGTTCAAGTAATTTTCAGTCGAAGCTAAATATGGCGCATTTTGTTAAATTTCCAGTAGAAGCTGAATATGGTGTTTTTGGGCCCTTAAATTGTTACAAGCAAAATTAGGCAATACTGCAATGACGGTACAATTTCAATGAAATGTTTTAGTTTTTTATATTCCGTTACATGTCACTACGTTTGTATAGGGTAACTTCGGACATTTTTTTCGTGGTTTTTGTATTAGACCCGACGTCCATTAGTTGGTAGGTCAATGGGTTTTCTTGTAAAATTGCGAGGTAAGTTTGTCTTTTGTTTCTATAGTGAAAAACCCGTAGGTTGGTAATTCGACTATATTGTTTTTATGTATGTATGTCATGCGATAACTCCGGCCGCATGAACCGATTTTGTTGATTCTTTTTTTGTTGGAAAGGGGGTACCTCAATTAATTAATTAAACCTAGATTTTATAATTTTATCAAATTAAATATACGCACGTTATTATTTTCTCATATTAATTTCAATTCAATCGTATTGTAATTTGTTGCGCGTGACAATTTGAAATGATAACTCATTGACTTACAATTATATGGACGTCGGGTCCGCGCTAAAAAGTGTCCGAACTTATAGGGCGTTAAAATCGTATACAGAGCGTCATTCACGCTTTAGTCTTCGTTTGTTCCACTGACAGCGAAGCAAGCAAAATTAGACAGCACTGCGATGACATTACAATTTAAATTCAACGTTTTAGCTTTTTCATATACCTTTACATGTCACTATGTTTAAATAGGTTGACTTGGGACATTTTTTCGTGGTTTTTGTATTAGACCCGTCGTCCATTTATTTGTAAGTCAATGTGATAACTACATTAATTGTATCTTAATGGAATAGACTGTTCATGTTCTGTTTTGTGATTAAATTATGTTCCGTGTTGCGTGTGTTCTGTTGCGGGATCCGCTGGAAATCAGCGTCGTAGCACATGAACGTAAGGCGACAATAAGCTGAGCGGGTCACGGTTTCCTTGGCAGCACATCACACACGCTTTGTACTCTATACAGTGTGTTGAGTTGCATTCTTGCCATATTTAAGAAATTAATAATAGAAATAATGCTAAATCACCTAAAAATATTTAAAAAAGTATTCTCTTCAATATTCTAGCTAATTGTAAAGTTTTGTAAAATTGTCCCCAAGAGTATTCACCGCGAAGGACATTGACCCCGCCATGGCGGGGCGCGGGGTGGCGCGCCACTCGCTTCACCGAGCGATAGCGATTTTTAAATTATGTTTATTATTTACAATAGTTAGAAAAGTTGAGCGATAAAAAAAATTTGTAACTAGATTTGGTACTTACCAAGTTTAGGTTACTTTGGACGGTTTGTATTCTATTCGTACCTGTCCCGCATGGCTTTGGCCAGGTCGGCGTGCAGCCGCGGCGCGGGCTCGCGCGCCAGCTCGGCCTGCGTGGCCAGGTCGCGCAGCGCCGCGCCCGCCTCCAGCTCCTCGCACAGCACGCGCACCTCGGCCAGCCGCCACGACGCCACCACGCCGCGGATGAAGCGGGCGTGCTCGCAGCCTGCGCCAATCCGACCCAGTCCAACGTCTTTCTCTACGCTGCGAGCCTTTGCACGCTCGCGCATTTTCATTTTAAAAAAACATCAGTACATCTGCATTCCAATTATAAGGCGATTAACGTAGTAGGCGTAGTTGACCGCCATAGTGATTGCACATGTAGTCGAGATCCTTCTTTGACGAGAATGGTCAATAATACAGAACTTATTCAGGACGCTGCAGTGCTCTAATAAAAAGACACCGAAGATATTGGATACATCCCTTTTAACGAACCAGATCGCTAAATGGATTATTTCAACTTCATTACAAAGATTTAAAAAAATATGAAGATAAATTGGGTCGATTTTCACTAGCAAATATAAATTTATCCACGTCGAGATCTCTTGTAGAAAACTGAACACGTCCTTACGCTTAAAAATCTGCGCGGTAGTGCGAAGCGCAGTGTATATTTTTTGTTTGTCTCCTGCGCAGAGAAGCGTTGTCAATGCGTTGGACGGCGCGTTTTCCATACAAACTGAGGTACTTCAGTACAACGTTAAAAAACGCAGCTCCCGCGCTCCGTCGCGGGGCGCAGTGCAGTGTGTCAATCGCCTAACTGTACACAGCAACTTTCTTTTTAATAATATTTAGTGACGGTTTTTTAAATAATATCTAGGTAAAAGCTATAAATAATGCGATCTTATGAACAAAAAAAGACCACCAATTTTTCGGAATATTTAAGAAAACTTAAAAATAAAAATTCAAAATTTTGATAAGTATACTCTTTTTACCTGCCCCAAATAACGTCAATTTTTAATCTACTTAAAAAAGATGTAGTCAAAGGCAAGGCAGTCTCCACCTTCTGTCCCCGTTCCTCGAAGTTTAGGTAAATAGTCTAACAATTCCAATAACTGGTGGGTGATAAGAGCCTAACTTCGTTTTCTTATTATTTTTATTATTATGGACCGCGGGGAACGTCGATCACAGAACAATAAATACAATAGAAGTGGTTAGTTAGCGTCTGACGCGTGCCAACTATAGGTCTCGAAAAACCTACTAGAGCCAGTCCGCCATTTTCGCTTTGTATGGTATGGTTGTGCCATTCTTTCGTGCAAATTCTCTAAAATCCTAGAAAAATGCCTTAATATGTGCTGTTTGGAAAGCAAAAATGATAGCTGCACCAAAAACATTACCCGTGATCATATTTCATATCATCGGAGTCTTATTTTAATAAATTTTCAATTTTCTGTTTATCGAAATATTTTTTTTTTTAATTTTTTTTTTATTGTGACTCGGCAAAATGACTGCACTTCTATTGTATTTATTGTTTTGTGATCGACGTTCCCCACGGTTCATAATAATAAAAATAATAAGAAAACGAAGTTAGGCTCTTATCACCCACCAGTGATCGGAATTGTTAGACTATTTACCTAAACTTCGAGGAACGGGGACAGAAAGTGGAGACTTTCTACATCTTGACTACATCTTTTTTTAAGTAGATTAAAAATTGACGTTATTTGTTTGTTACAAGAAACGAAAGTTAAGCAATATAGTCACTTCTTGTTTGGAGAACAAAATTAATAACCCCAATTCGTCGTCGTTCTGCAATTGACCACTAGATGGCAGCACATGTATTGGAATTTCAATATAATATCAAAACGCCGTAACTTGCAATAATAGGTATTGATGGTATTGAACTTTCAACGATATGCCAACAGCGTCGTTTAAATTATACTAACAATACAGAATTTATTATTACTTATATTTATAATCAATATCAAGATTTCGTGGTGGTTCAAATTAACAAAGTTTTGGCGACATCGGTTCTGATAGTACTCGTGTCTTAAAGCACTTCCATTGTTTTTTTCTTCCGTGATCTCGACCGTGTAGCCAGTACTTTAGAGCGCAGTGTGTGGCGTACCTCTATCAGGACGAGCGTCTCTGGGCCTCCGCGCGGCCGCGGCGAGCCGGCGCCGCAGCGTGCCCAACCCGGCCCCACCTGCCTTCTTCTTGCGTTCCCTGTAAGTCACAATTACATCTCGTAAATAAATTAATTGAACTGTAATTGTACATTGTGTATTAAAGACGGTAAATAAATAATTACTAACGAGGGTCTATAAGAAGCCTGAAGGCTGAGGGCTGTAATAACTCGAGTTTGGTACTTTTTTACTGTGCGTGATATATGTATACAATGTTTTTCGTCACATTCACTAGGAAATAAATACAATGTTTATTTCTTGTATGATTAACTGTGGGTCACAACACAATAATTATGGATTTTGCAAATGTTGGGTGGTTTTTTTCTTATCAATAGATGGCCAGCTAAAATCTTGTAAACTCGAACTAAAATGTTGTAAAAAACCAGCCATGATGGATAGTAAAAAACAAAATGGCTAATTTTTTATAGAGAAAATAATTAAAATAAATTATAATAAATTCTTAATAATAAGTATTTAAGTAGAATGTGGCTGAATTGCAATGAAATTTTTGTTTAGATAACATTTTATGCGAATGTCTTAATTGTGAACTTAAGTAACCTCATTGCTTGAACTTGAACCTGGCCTATGTAAGGAAGTATGTCGAGCTGCAAATTAAAAAAACATCCTAACCGACCATGGCTGTAATGGAAAGCAAAAATGCCAGAGGGTTTCATTTGGAGCATTATAGTAAAGTTAGCCACCATGTAATCATACCACTCACGAGCATGTGTGATGAAAATAATTACATCTATTTGCCAAGTTTTATTCGAATCGGCCAACATCATGTAGTCGAGGTCTCGGCTGCAAGTTGATTACGACTTCACGTATTAACTGCAAACGGGCAGTCAATCTGTTAGCAGCCTTACTGCTTGACGGCAGAAACATGGAAGGTGGCAGTACTTCCCTGGACGAACTCTTTCACAAGGAGCTCTACTGCTACAACAACTTTAAAGACATGCAATCTCTTGTGGAAGTCTCCAACTCGCATGATTTTATACCTGGACGGATATAAGAAGTGAAATTCTCACCGTATGACATCGGCCATGGTGGGGGGCTCCACGACCACAACAGCACCGTCGCACGCCTCGCCGTCCTAGAATTGCAATTGAATAAATTTATTTTTTAATTTTTATTGAATTGATATTCAATTATTTTTATGTGAATTTACTCCACTAGTTTGTTACAATTATTAATACAAAGATCGAACACTCAGAAAAAACTCCTTCGATCCGGCCGGATCCGAACCGACGTCTTCTAGCATACCGTGCCAGACGTATACCAACTAAGCCACGGAACGAACCAGCGGACCTCACGAATTTTTCTATGTGCTTGCGTCGTATCTTTGTTCTTAGAAAAATTCGTGAGGTCCGCTGGTTCGTTCCGTGGCCTAGTTGATATAGCGTCTTACAGCAACTGGCACGGTATGCTAGAAAACGTCGGTTCGAGTCCGGCCGGATCGAAGGAATTTTTTCTGAGTATTCGGTCTTTATATTAAGAGCCATTAGGTAAAAAAGTTTTGATGTTGGCTCCACTCACAGTCTCCGCTACCCGCTACCAGTACGTCGCAGCGCAAACCGATCAATTAAAAAAAACACACAGTAGGGGTATACTGTCCCCTTACTCCCCTTATTTTTGCAATCAAGTGTTTCACGTGCAAGCTGGAAAATTAAGCAAGGCTTAAATTGTCGTCTTCAAACCGGGCACGTACCATTAAGAAGGAGCAGAGGAAAAATTCCTAATCTTCGATTTGTTTTAGAGGAGCAAATCCACTTTAAAGTTAAAAGTAAAATATTGTATGAATAAGTACACGACCTATTCAAGCATAGACATTACTCAGAAACATAAAACAATAAAGTTTCCTCGATAGATAAAAGCACGAAATGACCTCTAATTTTCACATTTTTCGATTTTTTCTCGAAATGCTACGGGTTATTAGGACAAAAATTAGATGATTGGTGATGAAGAAGGGCCACTCGATTGATATGACGATCCGTTTAATGTTTTACATTACATATTATAAATATATAATATTTGTAAAAACGACAGTATGATTTTGATTGTTAGGTTACCTCTGCAAAACACACACACAAAATCCAGAAAGGATTTAGTACAGACAGAGAATAAATAGTTGATATCGTTGTTTTTTTTATTACGAGAACTGATTTTGATATTGAACAAAATAATTACACATAATGATAGCTATTTTACATTAGAGCAAAATAAATTTAAATTAAATAAATAAAATTTTAAATTTAAAGAAATTTAACACATTGATAACACACTTATTGTATTGGTTTTTGTCTTTGACTCGACAAGAAGATTATAGCAATCTGTTTATTTTCATGTTTATTCTATTTACCAAACAAATACGAGTATAATAGGTATCGTGCTTTATGAAATTTCATTACAGACACAAATTTTATGTGGAACAGAAAAGAACTGTGGAGCCGCCAATAGGACTAATAAATTTACAATCGGTTCCAGTACAGTAAGTATTTGCAGGGTGTTTTTATTTTGGTATGTTTATGCAGGGTGATAAAAACCACTGACCATTTTAAAGGAGCATACTGCATAATGGAAATAAAAAATACATGTTCGGTTTTTTTTTAAATACCTAACACATAAATAAATTATGACGTCTCAAAGTTTTATATCTTAAATTTTCATAAATTTCGTGGAAAGATTCTAGTAATTCACAGAAATTTATAATATGTAATGTAAAACATGTAAATGGTATCATCATATCGATCAAGTGACCCGCAAAAGCGGGAATAAACTAGTTTAAATGTTATTGGGCACATAATAAGAACTAAAATCGTCTGCACGACCTTCACTCTTATACCTGTGAATTTTTAATCCTATTACTGATGAAATAAAAATTCGTAACTTCTAAGTGAGCTTATGCACATGAAAATATTTTTTTATTTTACCGTTCAACATAGGTAGGTAGTTCACAAACTTACATTCGACAATTGTATTAGCCGTCGCTTTAATGTTGAACTTTTTTTTCTCGCGTCTTCAGTCGTTTTAACGAATTTAGTTTGTTTCACAGAGCATAAGTTGCCAAGTCCCATGTGCATGAAATTTCACCACTCTTACCCTTCCAAACCACATTACTGCTTGGCGACCGAAATAGGTAAGGTGGCAATACTTCCCTGGACGAACACTATCACAAGGTGCTTTACTGGTACCATTTGCAAGAATACAGTGTTTATGTATTATGGGGAAGTACCATGGAGAGAATTTCGCTGCTCTGGTACTCCTACGAGTACTACTAAGGCGAATTCACAAGTTTGAGACCAGGTAAGTGGTGTGGTTGTGTGGCACATTATTAGATACTTCAAATAGCAAGCAAGTGTGCAAATATTCATGGATCAATTATATTTCAAATGAACAATTGTGTTTAGAACCTGCAGGTACATATAAAAGACTTCAATTCTTTATTCCATTTACCATAATGGCTTAAAGCTAAGATAACAGCGCACTATGGACTCTGTAGGGCACTGCAATTGTACATTATTGCACAGGCCGGAAAGTAAGGGATTGCTGGACTAGTATGTGTCACAAGGACGAACACCAGCGAGGTTAATACGAGTCAAGCAATCCCCGTTCCCGCCGAGTCTTGTACAGTGATTGACACGCTTCTATATTACCTAGTTATGACCTTATAATGTGAAAACCATTGTCATTTATTTGGATTATATTCATTATTATGCCACTAACTTTATTTTAATTGCAATTTTTTGCTACATGTCATAGTCGCCCGAAATAAATTCTTTTTTATTTCATATATTTATTTATTAACCAAAGTCAATGGTGACAACCCTACGAGAGATTTTTAATAATACTATGAGAGTGAGTGAGAGTTGTTTAATAATACTATACAGTCTGTTAATCTAATTTGCATTATTTCGCCATGAATAAAATAGAATGTAAAAAGACCGTCATATTCTGGCTTAAGAGTAAAACTTACAATGAAAAAGAGGACTTGCTGGAAGTTGTTTCGTAATTATTTTGACATAGGTAATAATTATAAATAATTCTTTTATTCTTAAATATATGTAGATAATCTATTTTTAAGCTGTAATATAAAGAAATTTGCCCAAAATGATGCCAAAATACAGGTACACATTTACTTAGTTTAGGCAACGCAATAGCACAGAACTTAAGTTCTTATATTAAACTGAAAAGCTTCACTATGAAGATTGTATAATTTAGGTTCCCTTGTTAATACTTATTTTAATACTATCACAGCTTTATTTACATTTATTTTCCTTGTATTGTGTTAGATTAAGTTATGTTGAAATAAATGTATCTTTATCTTTATTAAATGGATAAATGAAATAATAGTTTTGCTACTATTAACTTCTACACAGCCTGTTATGGAGCTTCTTGTGAATGTGTTGCTTACCTGCGGGTGAGAGAGCGCGGCGCCCATGTCTAGCGGCGCGTGGTGGGGCTGGGGCGCGGAGGGCGCGGGGGCGCACAGGCAGCACAGCAGGCGGCTCATCCGCGTACCATCACCGCCCCGCGCCGCCGCCCGCCTGCCCTGCGACGCCGTACGCTGCATTCACAACGACACATTATGTAAAGGTCCGTCTACACGGTACATACGCAACAATACAGCAATTAGTGAATGTGTGCGCGAGCGTCACATACTTTTTTAAATATATTTTTTTATATTTAGTTCTTTTTATTTATTTATTTATTTTCAAGTTACAAAAGACCCATAAACACATACATTACAGACTAACATATATAATAAAACTATTTATTTATTTACATATATGGACTCCAGCTGCTCGACCCTCAGGGTAGCATTGGCTTTCAATCATGTACTCCACAATAGCCGCAGACTTTGTGGAGTAACGACGTCGTGACATGTATAGCAACGTCGTCGGTACCGCTACCGCTGGACATAGTTTACTGAATATAGTTTTATATTCCTTTTAATATTTTATTTAGTTTTTAACTGTCATTATGTAAAAAATAATTGTTACGATCCCGAAGGATTTATAATTCCTTTCCCTTTTCTCACTCTCTTTAAACGCTCTAGGCAGAAGTCTCGCTAACAACAGCTAGCTTTGCGGAAGTTTACCGGCGGCGAAACTCCACCGTGTAGGCTGTCCTTAAAAGCTCTGAGGCCCTCAAAAACACCAACAGAAACAAATCTAGCAACTAAATTTCCTTCTATTTCTAAACTAAATATTCCACCTCTAAGGGTGGCAAACTAGGGGATGAATCCGTTTTTGCGCACTTTACTCACGTATTTAGTTGTCGGATCTTTTTGCTTCAGCCTGTATAATAAATAACAAGCACAAATTAAACCGTGAATGTATACAAACATCAAATGTATACAAACATCAGATTTCATAATTACAAGTCTGCTTACATATATGTACATCATAAAATATTGTTATTATTTTAACTGAAAAATGCAATTGCACATTTTATCATATCATATTATAGTCTCGAATAAACACATGTCCACTCTTAAGCTAAAAGACACCAGAGAATGCAGATTCTGCCACAAGACGGATGAAACTCCTATGCACGTCCTTAACCAATGTTGCCTTTCCATAGGCGTAGGAACGTCTACCTCAGGGATCTGTCTTGAGTCAAATTTCTCGGTCTCATCCTTGACTCTATAATGACAGGTGTGCATCATCTTAACTGTATATGCAGAAAAGTAGAATCCGGTACTAATGCGATGCGAGCACTTTCTGGTGTACGCTGGGTACCCACCGCTACAGCTAAACAATGCTGTACAACGCCATAGTCCACAGTCACTTTGACTAGCGCGGATTCCTCCTAGAACCCTGTCACAAAATAGCCCTTTGCAAACTGGACAACACCCTATCCAAATGTCTTCGGATCATAACTGGCGCTATGAAATCCTCCCCTATTAACGCGCTCCAGGTAGAGTGCTCAGAGCCGCCTCTCTATCTCCGAAGATAATATCTGTGTGACAGGTTCCTACAAATTTCCTCTCATCCATTGCTTGAAAAGCTCCGATCGCTCAACCAGTTGATCCCAACCTCTAATTATTGGTTCCATAAGGACCCCCTCTTTTAGTGAATAGCCTATTTAAATTTTCAAATACCGAAAACTTACCAAGTACAATATAATAAAAACCCAATTTTTTAATTTGATTATGACTCCTTAATATACCAACCTACTATTCTTTTCAATATTGGCATTGATAAAAACTCTAAAAATGCAAACTCAAAATTAGAAAACATAATTAAGAAGGATTGGAATAACGGGCTTTGTCTATATACTGACGCCTCTAAATTAGCAGAAGACAATGATGTCGGATCTTCAGTGTGGATCACCAAGTACAAAATAATCCTCAATTTTAAATCTCCCCCAAGGCGTCAGTATTTACGGGTGAAGCGATCACAATCTTGGAAGTAGTCCTGTATGCTGAATCTCACCACCTAAACAAAACAATCATATTATCGGATTCACTTAGTTGTCTACAAGATATTCAGAATCTTCCCTTCCATGGTAAAGATAATTTTATTTTGAGTCTTAAGTATTGTATTGAAGTCGTACTGGCATGGATTCCAGGCCACTGCGGTATTCTGGGGAATGAAACAGCTGACTTGTGCGCCAAGGAAGCCATCCAGTTTGGTAATATCACACATTATCAATGCTATACCTGGGACCTCCGTATTTCAACCAAACCAATGTTTCAGTCTTGGGACAATCTCTGGCAGAAGACCCGCTTATCTAAAGGCAAACAATTCGGAGACCTTCAACCGGACATACCTCGGCGTCCTTGGTTTTTTAAGCGTCGAAACCTAAGTAAACTGGTAACGTCTTTAATTATTCGACTGCGCCTAGGACACATAACTTCAGCAGTTTTTTTGGCCAAGATTCGGGTAAGAGACAATTCCATTTGTGAATGCGGTCTGGATCATATATATACCTTAGGTCATATATTTTTCCACTGTACAAACATAAAGGTCCACCTGTACGATCTGCTCCCTGACAGTATGCCCCAACCCATTAATCTACCATTTCTTTTACCCAAGTTCAGAGTCCTTTTGTAAATACCCTGTCGAAATTTATCCAAATCAACAATATTAAATTTATTTATTTATTTATTTATTTATCTTATTGCTAGCATGTACAATTTGTGTAATACGATCTTAAAAATAGTCACTGTTACGTACATACACCCTGTTGGGTATTGCAATATTATGTCATTTGTTCGCATGTAAAATTACTAATTATATTATACATTGTAGCAAATTATAAGTTAACATGCAGAAATCATCAACAATAATTAGAATACATTAAAATTTAAGATAGGTACAAATAAAAAATTAAATTACATTAAAATGAAATTCAAAATCTAAAATAATGTCAAAATGAAAATCTATAATTAAAATATTAATAACTATCGTTAAAAAACTCGTCAATGGAATAATAACATTTTTCGGCTAGTAAATTATGCAATTTTATATTGAAGGATTTGTCTTTCGATTCGTTTCTAATAGTGAGAGGAATTTTATTATATATATGTATTAATTGCTCTATAATACGGACCAGTTTTGAATATTTCCAACCTAGGTGTAGGAAGCACTAACTGATCATTGCGACGCAGGCTACTTGTAAATTTGAAATCAGTAATATTATTTCTAACAAATGTAGCAATTATATCGAGTTCTTAGTTTCCGCGATTGTTACACATAGGAAATGAAACTATTTTTCCGGATTTAAATCGCGTATATTTGTTTTTTCAAACAAACCGACGTTCATCAGTCAACCGTGACCATGGGACCTGTAAAGGGCCCGAAACATCGGTTTGTTTGAAAAAATAAATATACGCGATTTAAATCCGGAAAAATAGTTTCATTTCCTATAATATTAAATTATATTTACCTTTTCTATTAAAAACATTTTCTGTGAAAAATGTACAGTACACTATTATATATATATATTTATAAACCCATCCCCCCTTCTATTTTATTTTTATATATGCATGTGATGTGAGTGTCTCATTTGTGTTTTTGTGTTGTCCCTTTTTAGAATCTCATCCTACTCAACAAACCATACATAGTCAACTACATAAAAGTGTTTTTTTCAACCCTGACATTGGCAGAATCCTCATGTAAATTGATGGAGCCGTTATAAAGAAATTGGAATTGGAACAATTGAATTTTGCATCATTACCTTTATTACGGGTATTTTCGGGTTTCAACAATAGCAACACGGGATAGCGGGGTATTCGGCAGGTTGGGGAGTTAAATGTTTTGTTGCATGACCCATTGGCGAAGAGGGCTAAAATTCTGAGGTCTTGCCTCTTGCTATGAGGCGACACGATAAGTGTAGAATAATCTAAGAATAAAATAAGTGTTACAGTCCTTATTAAAAAAAGATTTAATTGCAGTTCCTGTCCATAAACAGGTAAAGAGGTGCAGAATGCTAGAACTGCTTCAACTAATTTGAGAATCTAGCCACAATTCTATGGATTCCTGCTGGGGAGTTGACTTTACATAGCACAAATCCTGCAACTCATCTGTTTATAGTTGTTAGTCTGATTGCAAGATAACAAGATATAAACAAAAAAGTCAGAATAATATTAATTGTATACACCTTTTTTTAATCTTGGTTTTACTAAGGCCTGTAACACTTGGGTGCCAATATCGGCCTTGTAATGTTATTACCGGTGGATTATTCTATGTGAGGGTGCCGCCTTATAGTGAGCGGCAACACCTCACATATGCTAGGACATGTAAACAATCTGTCATACTCGGTGCATAAACGAGCAGTACAGTGCTCGGCGCGGGTGCGCGCTTACAAGTTGTTAATATGGCTCACTGCTGCAAGAACTCTAGCAGACAGGTTCGCCTGCGCTGGATCAAGCAATTGTAGAACTATCATTTTAAATATTTGCTCATTCTTGACTTTTAGACTATTTACTGGCCACCTTCCCTTAAATAAGTTCCACCATCTAATAAAAAGAGCGGAATCTCCATTACGTAAATTCTGTAACAAACTTGAAGATATGCTGTTCTACATTTAATGGAATATGGCCATTATGTGGTTCTAAGAAGCCAATTTCAATTAGGTGATATTTGGCAGGTTGGGGAGTTAAATGTTGCATTGGGAGACCCTTTGGAGAAGAGGGCTAAAACTCCATACTAATATGTGAGGCCTTGTCTCTCAGTACGAGGCGACACGATACAGTAGAATAATCCAGGAACAGGGACAGGGATTAAAATCACAAGGCATACAATGACACCCAAGTGTTACAGGCCTTTTCAAAAATAAGATTAAAAAAAAAGATAATGTAACACCTTTCAAAAACTAAATTTAGAAAAGCAGTTACAAAAGTATTAGGTATCCTAGCATTTAAGCTCTTGATTAACTGGAATTTAGAATTTTTGTAACAATATTGTTAAATATGCAATGTACAATATCATTACAAAAATTCGCTTCCTACGTTGTTCAGTTACTGAATAAAATGAATGTTTTTGGCTTGCTGGATGTATGTAATATATTTAATTTTAATAAAAATGTGCAGAGCAAATATGTTGTGAAACGAAGGAAATGACAGAAAGAGGTGCTTGAATGGTCGGTTCGTTCACGAACATACTCCTGGGCTTCAGTTACTGAATAAAAGCAATATTTTTGGCTTGCTCAATGTATTTATTATATTTAATTTTAATTCAAATGTGCAGAGCTAATGGTTTGTGAAAAGAAGGAAATGACAAAGAGACAGAATGAGTGAATGTAGACAGAATGAGGATTATGAATGATTGGTTTGTTCACGAACATATGTTCTTAGATTTAAGTACTATCTAGCTTTTAAAACATTATAATTAAGTGACAATATGAGTATAATAATAGTACTTGGTACTTGGTGTAACGGGCTGACATCCGCAACTCGACGTCTATAATAATAGTAAATCATGGATGACATTGTTGTTAGTACATAAAATTATGTATAAATTAGTAACAAGACCATTTGTTACTAACTTTGTACTGCTGTTTTTGTCCTTAATAAAATAAAACAAAAATAAAGTATTTGGTACTAAAGGCAGCCACCTGCATTCCCCCATTTGTTTGCCTTGTAGAAATAAAAATTAAACAGTAAGAAAAAACCGAGATTTCAATATCCATAAAATCTCAATTGTGAACACCACAGTAATTCTATACAAACAGGAATTCAGGGCATGCTTTGTCCCTTACTACAGTACTACAGCCAAAATAAAAGGAGCTTAAGATTTATATTTGTTAAGTTTATACTGGGTGTTAAAAAAATACATCCAAATAAGACTTCATTTACATGTCAGGAATGGATGGTTTACGGTTAAAGATATTAATTTCTCAAAAGAATACAAATTCAAATAGCGAGAAATACACAGGTATCATAAAATTTCTGCACAGATTATATATTGAAAAAATATTCAAATGAAGGAATTTACATAAAATTTGGTGTTTTAGTATAAGAAGAAAAAACAAAACCAAGGCTCTACTCAAGTAATTGCATATTAATAAAAAACACAAAACAACAAAAATAAACAAACAAAAACACGAAAAGTGAGGAATTCCTCACAAATTTTAACTTTTTGTAAATTGTTTGATTTTATTAAAAAAACATGTCAATGATAGAATTCTTACTATTCAAAAGTTTGTTTCTTGATAACAATTTCATGAGAAACTGTACAATTTAGTTACTCAGGATACATGCTCTCATAATTAACAACATAAAATGTTTCAAGTTATTATAAGAGTTCATGTTCTTTTAAGAGCAACTTTCATGTCCTCCATTTACAAGGCATCCTATATAAATTACTGAAAGGGAACTTTTTTTCAGTTTTGGGGGCGCGGTTTCAGGCCAGCGGCGGGGCAGGGTGCGGGGGCGTGACGTCACTGCGCGCGCATCTGACCCCGTACCAAGTTGACCCAGATAAGACTTTGCGACATTTTGAAGCTATTGCAACTCGAATGTCAACATTACTCGGAGCAAGACTTCGATTAAGCAACACTTACCCTTTTACCGCTCATACATGCTCTAGAAAGGAAGTTTTATGCAATGTTTTCGAAAATTTTCGGAACTTTTTTCAGAGTAAATAACCAACGATGTTCAAAAAAATGTACTTATTGTAATAGACATAACTGAGCATTTTTATGTTGTACGTAGGTTTTTGACGAGTACTAACCAGTCACTATGAGCATCACAGCACACTACAACAAGTAATCTTGATGATTTTCATTGAAACATATCCCTCTTCTTCCTATGGACCGCCATTTAAACAACAATTTATGTCAAGTTGTAATTCACGATTTTCACAAATCACAGCACAGTCACGTCATCATATATTGTATGTAGAACATATTAAACTAACACTTATTAATATTTTTACACGATTAAGTCACTATTCAAGCTCGTCGTGTGATTTATGTTGGAAAATCGGAACGAGAGCAACCCGTTGTGCTTACTTGTCTCTCGCAATTCCGTCACTGCTGCCAACAGAACAAAACTATAAATAAATACCACTTGTACCAACTAAAAGAAATAAAAGAATGTTTGTTCAAAAATCACATCAATCATCACATTTTATTTTCATTAACCGAAGCTTTTACAAATAAAATTCACTATAATTTTATTTAGTCTTGCCTAAGTTTGTCTTGAAATGCTTTCAATGCATGTCAAATTTGCTTAAAAACTACAACTGTATTGAGATAGGAGTTTTAAGAAATTACAGGTCAATTTTAACGTCGGCTGCTTTAGTATATGTATTTTGGAACGTTCCTGTGTTCGGATACACGTCTAGCATTGGTCAAAAGCACAGCATTTTTTACTCAAATTTTGACAGCTGCAAATTAACAGTTTTCAATTTGTTTATGCAATAATTAAAAGAAAACTCGCAATTTCATTCTTTGAGCAACAACTTTATTTCATTTTCGGATGTGTAACAATTTATTGTAAATTAATTGTGCGTAAAATATGACAGATAATTATTGAATTTTCGCCTCTTTCACGGTAAGCTTTTGTCTCCATTATAGTTTTAATATTTATAGTTCTTTTTTCACTCAAAATCACGTCGTAAACTTAATACAAGGCGATTAATACATCGACGTGTACAAATAATCACTACATTGACGAATTAAACTTTGACTACACGACAAAATGTGGAATCGAAACTACCGATTACTATCGCAAAATTTCAATACTCTGATACTTTATTGCATTCCCAAAAGTTAATAATGTAGCAAATGGACACGCTTAATTTAGAGCTTTGGGATCTATATGGGCTCTGAGAAATACACATGTCATTGCTAGTTTTAAAAAATGGAATTTACCTAATTTTTTTAATCAAAAAGCCTTGCTATTACGTTTTTTGTTTGGTTTGGTGGGTTTGTTTGAAAAACCAAATATACGCGATTTAAATCCGGAAAAATAGTTTCATTTCCTATGTGTAACAATCGCGAAAACTTAAGAACTCTATATTACGATTTTTTGCAAACATAACCAAATCTTTCTTATTGGGACCTTAAATGAGTTCCTAAGCACGAAAGTAAACAGGGGTAGCCTATCTATCTAATATTCATCTCTATATTATATAATCTTCTAGTGATGAGGGCATACACCATAGGTTCTCAAACTCCTTGACTCACCACCTACTTAGGCAAGATGAAAAAATTCTACGCCCACCACCACAAAAAAATAATTTAAAACATATGTGTTAACTTAATTATTATATACATGTAGTGGAGTTTATATAAAATATCTATCTATATCATTGACTTGCAAATAAATGGACGACGGGTCTAATACAAAAACCACGAAAAAAATGTCCCAAGTCAACCTATTCGAAATTTAAATTGTAATGTCATCGCAGTATCGCGCTGTCAGTAGAACAAATGAAGACTAAAGCGGAGTGTGGCGCTCTGTATACGATTTTAGCGCCTTACAAGTGCGGACACTTTTTAGCGGGGACCCGACGTCCATATAATTGTAAGTCAATGATCTATATAGATAATTAAATTTTTTTTAATAAGGTAGCACCCCCTGGACAGTATTAACCCCCAATTCATTTTTTTTCTTTTTAACTTAAATTATATCCTTTTTTTATTTACATTACCAGTTCCATATTTAAAAGTAATGATAGCACTTAGAGTTGTTTACTTTCAAACATGGAACCTGTAATATACGTAAAAAGGATATATTTAAGTTAAAAAGCAAAAAATTATATTTTAACTTATGTGGAAGGTGTCGACATACGCACTATGATTTTTGGTAGCATAACATGCAACGGTTACAGCTTGTTAGTGAGTACCTAGCTTAACAGTTGCAATGCAGTCCATAACCATACTGTTATTCTATATTAACATTAATGCCACTAAGTAAAGGTATCTCTGTACAGGTGGGTAACTGTACAAACTCACCATGGAGCCCATGCCTGGGTCATCCCAAGACAGCGTAAGCCAGATCCACATTCCTGTGTCTCCTGGCAGCCCTGACATCTTGGATGATAATGGAGCAGAATCTGATGGCCTAGAGGTATTGTTATTTTTCATTTAAGCTCTTCTCACACTAAACTTGGTGCTTGGTGTAACGGGCTGGTGTCCGCAACTCCACGTCAAGACGTCTATTTTGCGTGTGGTGGGGGCAGGGTCCTACTCGTGCCACCCAAGCAAGACCGCGGCACTCCAAGGTACTTCGCCCTGTAGTTGGCCATGCTGGAGCACTGTAGTAAGATGTGCGCAGCCGTTTCCTCCCCCTCCATATACGCTCTGCAGAGGGCTGTCTGTGATACCTAAATTGAAAAGGTGTTTATTGTATGGACCATGACCCGTTAGGGCGGCAGTTAGAGTGCGAAGCTCTTGCCTTTTGAGTTTACTCACACAAAAGTAGCTATCGCTGTGATACGTGACACAAAGACTTGAGTATTTTGCTGGTGCTTTGCATTAAGTCTTTCACGGCACTATCTAATTAATATATATCCGGCTTTTGAATTTCCTGACTAGTGAGTTTTAATATTAAACCTTATTTGGTCTCCCAATACCTGCTCCCAATACTGATACCTGCGATAGGCATAAAAATACGTATATATATATGGACACCAGAGAACTGAGTCGCATTGCTGCATTGTGATCCACTTTATACAGGTTTATTCATAAAATACTAACAGCCTCGCAGAACTATTGTAGTATCATCATAAACAACAAGTTTTGTTCAGTTTTACAAAACAATAAAACGAGAAATAAAGTCTTTTAATTTTTTTGTTGTACTATTCAACATTTCTTAGATCTGTACTGGGTGGTAAGATAGTAAGTCCAAACGTTCAAGTGTCTTCCTCGACGACCCCACCCCCGGTACTGCGTTTTGCAACGGATTGATATTTACTTATGTTACGAGATAACTAGGCATTTGTGAAACGATTTTGATGATTATTTTTTTGTTGGAAAGAGGGTACCTCAGTATTGGTCCCAATTAATTTTGAAGAAAATATTCCACCTCTAAGGGTGGCATACCAGGGAATGTACTTATTCGGTTTCGCGTTATTTCTTTTAACCGATTCCAATAAAACTTGACAAATATAATGTAATTCCTCGAAGTTTTGAGGTCGGTTCTTTTTTATAAAAAAAAGTTATTATCGTACGTGTAGTGGTGTAAAAGTTGGTATACTATCACCACTTAGAGCGAGCTATTTAAATATTTTTATTTTTGTACGAAGTAAAATCTGGTGAATTATTAAAAATCAAGGAACAAAAGTTGTTGTTTATGATGCTAGTAATATAGTCGAGCTTGTGTGGCTGTAAGAAGCCAATTTCAATTAGAGGATATATGGCAGGTTAGGGAGTTAAATAAGCTGAGAGACCCGTTGGACTTGTAAGTGAGGTCTTGATTCTCACTACTATTCAATTCAATTCAATTCAAAAAGTTTATTTCAGACATAGTCCATATTAGTGTTAGTTACAAAAAAATTCTTACAACCTATGTTAGTACGAAATTTGCGAAATATTACAGTAACTTATAAATTAAACCCCTGGAACCCATGTGGACTGAGTTCCAGTGCTTCCACAATTCACTGACAGGGTTCTCCCAGATCAAACGAACTAGGCTATTGGAACTGCCACGCACGCGACGCATCAGGGAGGCAGTTCTCTTCCGAATAATCGCGCTGAAGCTATCAATACGCGCGTCCGCGAACATACCTGATGCGCTGCAAAATCGTGGCAGCCCCAATAGCATCTTAAGACCATTATTGTATTGGACACGCAGGGCATTGCCCGTCGCTTTAGTGTAATTTGTCCACAGGCTGCACGTATAGAAGGTCTGACAAAACGCCCTGAAAAGGGTGGCTTTGACATTACCCTCACAACGCGCAAACCTGCGTGACAACATATTACAACGTACGGCCAACGCTCTGCGCTCCCTCTCCATATCTACGAGGCGATAGAGTAAATCATCGAGTATTATAACCAGAAATAGAGACGAAATGTCATTTAATTTGTTTGAAGACTATTCTGCCATATCATTACTGTGACAACTGCGCTCCGATTGGCCAGCCCGAATTCCAAACAATTGACGGGAGTCGTCAATTGATTCACTTCAAATCGACTAGTTTAACTTAAGCTTTGCTATAATAGACGAAAATTGAAAAATTACATATTTAATATTTAATTACCGATTAATTGTGATTCAGTTTCTTTTGTAATTAGATGTTTTGCTGTTTTTCCCATGCCACCGAATGGAACAGCCCTATAGTTAGAGATGTTATCTTTATTACAATAAATACAGAATATTTTTGGAACATATGGAGACGTACACACAGGTCAGTTGTTGACGCTGTACTATTTCAGCTTTCTAATTTGTGATTTCAGTGCAAACAAGATTTGATATTTAAAAGTGATATAAGGCCCATTTACCTGATGAATTACCAGGGATGATGACCCTTATTTCGTCTCTATTTCTGGTTATATACTCGATGAGTAGAACAATCCACAGGGACTGACATCACAAGGTCAGCATTGACACCCAAGTGTTACAGACCCTATTAAAAACAATATTTATAAAAAATCACAGATATAAAAATAATGCATGGTGAAAACAGTTTGTTAGCGAAGATTTGGCAACCCTAACAGTTTGCTGACTTTCCTATAAAGGTAGCACAAGTAGGTCCCTGCAACCCATCCATGGGGCAAAAAGTGAAGTTACATATCGACTGTGAACTGGCAACCGGTACCATCTCAATTTTCTAAAGATTTCACTTTTTTAATACCATTTTATACTACTTCATACTCCGCAGCGTTGCAAGAAATTCCATTGTTTTTAATGACACGTGTAATAAAAATATTTGAAAACTACGTATTTTTATTGAATAAACCAGATGCTATATAAAAAGTTGTCAAAATTGAGATAGTACCGGTTGCCAGATATTTTCTTGCTAATATTTTGCCCTCCTTATCATAACTAACGCAAGTGCATTTTAGTCACTGTTAACATCGTTGAAAAATGTAATTGCGCTGAATTCTTATTTTTCCCGTACTAATAAAGTCCATTTTGCTGGAGTCGAGCGGCTGTGACACTAGCTTCATTTCAGAATTATTTTTTTTACAAACGAAAGTAGACGACGCAAGTCGTTAGAAACATGTATACATATTAAATATAGTGTAATACATTAATAATATTTAAAGTTTAATATGATTTATATGTATAAATTTAAAAAGAATATGATATGTTTTTGGGTGAGAGAGGAAGTAGGACGAGGGATAGAGGGAGGGAAGATGTCATATAGGGAACACTGTAATTTAGGGCAGTCAAAAAATATTATGAAAGACATTTGTATATCGTATACTATACGTTTACTATTTGGTTCAGTTGATATAAAAAAAAAGTCTGCTATTGAATACAGCGGTTTTGTTGTAAAATTTCGAGGTCAGTTTGTTTTTTTCTATCGTAAAAAGTTTTTACGAATCGTGTTTTCACATCGTATAGTAATGAGTGTATATCCCCAATTTTATTTTATTTTTTTTTTCCAAAATGATTAATACAACACTTTCACTGTTATGCAGAATCAACCAAAGCCATTTGAAGTTGTATAGATTCCTAACAATAAAATTGAAACTAAAAAACGCTTAGGGTTGTACATCACATTTCACTGATCCCAGATGATTATGTTACCAACTCAATTTCGATTACGTTAATAGTTATAATAAAGAGGGCTGGATTTTTAATAGTTTCATTTTCAACGTGTAGAAATATGAGAACTTCAGGACTTAATACATTATATTTATTTTGCTTTCTTGCACAGGTCATTGAGATAAATCCATTCCAGCAACAAGACATAGAACTGTACCCCCAGGGAGTTAACCAAGAAAGTGTAGTCATGGTGGTAAACGACAACAGCAATTACTCAACGTCCACCGACGACAGCAGTAACACCATCCCTTTACCAATCGACAACTCTAGACCTAGTTCAGTAAATTCGAGACCTAATTCAGTAAACTCCGGGCCTAGTTCAAATAATTCACGTCCAAGTTCAGAACATTCCAGACCTGATTCAGAAAACTCGCGACATGATTCGGATAATTCCAGGCCCATTTCTATAAATAACTATGAAGCTTCTAGCGAGGATTCTAATAGTGTTATCTCATTGCCTGATGCCGAATTGCGTCGAGAAAGACCAGAGGTTGTTGACGAACCGCCAGCTAAAGTAAGAAAACTAAGTACAAAATCAAATGACGACTTAGATGGTGAAACATGTCCTATATGTTTAGACTCTTGGGGAAATTCTGGAGATCATAGACTTGTAGCTTTAAAATGCGGACATCTCTTCGGTTTACAATGCGTTGAGCGATGGTTAAAAGCTCAAAGTAGTAAAGAAAGATCTTGTCCAACATGTAAATCGAAAACTACAATGAGGGACATTAGACATATTTATGCAAGAAGATTGGTAGCAGCTGATACTTCTCAAATAACAGCTTTGCAGAAGCAAATGGAGCAAGTACAATCTGAAAAAAGTAGGGTGGAACTTGAATTACAGAAATCGAGAATTGCACATAGAGCTTGTGTAATGCAGTTAGAAATTTTGCGTAGTACGTTAATGAAAAACCAAGGTCCAAAAGAACAGCCAGTAAGGAAATCTTGGAGGTTCGCCTTGGAAAAGAACTTGGAAGTCTTCAAAGATGGAGGATGCAGAGTTATGACGTACAATTGTCAAACTTACGAGCTCTATGTATCGCAAAAAAGCAGTAATAACCTTTTTCCTGGTTACGGTATACGGAAAGTTAGTTGTGTCGACTATAAGCTGGGGCAGTTTGTTCATTTACATCAAAGACCTATTAGGGATATCACGTACTCGCAACCCAGAGACTTGCTTTTGAGCGTCGGCTTGGATAGTACAGCGAAAATAGTCGAAAGAGGGATCTTGAGTGTAACAGCGCAGACTGGGTTTCCTCTGTGGTCTTGCTCTTGGGATTTTCGTCGCGGCAACGAGTTTTACGTCGGAGGAGTTGGTGGTGTCATTCACCAATACGACGTAAGAAACACAAACACTCACGTCCTTCGACTTTTCGCACCTACCGATACATCCCCTGTTGTGTCTCTCTGTTCGACAGAGTATGGACTTCTTTCCTGTCAATTAAATTCCTGCTGGCTATGGGTAGCAAATATGAGACAATGGGAGCCTAGGGCTTTACCAATTGAAGGCCCCTTCATGTCGTTAAGTTACGATAGTGAAACCCACAGAGCTTTAATTTCGTGTAGACCAAGTTCGGCTGGGGAACGATCACGACTGGCCCTGTGTAAATTAAAAGCGTCAGTGCCAAGTGGTGAAGTTATAGCTGAAACGGAGCAAACCTTTTTTGGATCAGTCCGTTCTTCCTTAATGTCACGTGCGTCCTGGGTCAAAGCGCCTGGATCATCCTGGGTAGCGTCTCATTCTGAAAGTGACTCGGCGTTATATCTGCATGGTTTAGAAGGGGCCAGGACCATGTCGTTACCAGCTGCAGAACCGGCGTTAGATGTGACGTCAGTGCAATTAAATGGGGATACTTTGCTGGCTGCGTTATCGGAGTCGAGGTTAAGACTGTACAAAGCAGTGCCAACAAATTCTTGATGTTTTGTCTAAGAACAACTTTATGGTGACGTTCCTGTGATGTTCATGTGTCAGTTTTGTGTGTGAGAAATCTTGTGACTGGTTTAAAAAAGATTGAAGGTTGAATTGCATTTGGACCGTCGCCATATTGGTGAGTTTCAATTAGCTAATTTCTTCAGCAGCCCTCAACACTACCTTCTACCAAACAATATTTGTACGTCATTTATTATGTGGAGATCTGTAATCTCTGCCTTGGTGTAATACGAGTGACTCTATAAGGTCTTATTTTAGTAGTATCAAATTAGGAGAGTCTGCTAGGTCTTTAGTCAAAACAAGCTTTACATGTTTGCAATAAGAGCCTAAAAGGTGCTATGCGTGTCGGTTGTGGCTTTTCGCTCTAAGGCTGACAAATTAACTGCATGTTTGCAATTAATGCGTGAAGTCGTATCCAACTTCATGCAGCGGCTGCATGACTAGTGGCGGATTTGCAGTCTTGACAACCAGAGGGTACCAGCCGCACCATTCTCAGCACTTATCGTATACTGGTAGACTACATAATGAATGTCACTGTCTATTGGTGGAAACCGCATGAAATAGTTTTTGAGTTTATCGCGATCAGACAGACAGAAGACAGACGCGGTAGTTATAATATGTAGTGATGTGGTGACATTACATTATAGATATTTATACATGACTATACTTTATACATAAAATGTACGAAAGTAATGTAGGAGATTATTGTTATCCGATGCGGTGCGGTGCGGCCCGCCATAATGTGCGTGAGTCTTTAGGATATTTAGGTACTTTGAGTTATTTCTTGTTATAATCAGTGAATTTTTTATCACGATTGGCCGCCCTAGGCCAGGACCTACTGGGCATTAGAGCAAATTCGCCACTGTGCATGATGACTGCATGAAGTTGATAACGACTTCACGCATTAACTGTCAATCTATTAGCAACCTTATTGCACGGACATAAAACTTTTCCGGACCGGCTAAAGCCGAGTGGTGACAATTTAAAACACATCTGCACACTTAATAATAATGAACCACATTACAACACGTTTAAGTTTCAAACAAGTGTAGATACCATACGAGCAATTGAGATAAAGATGTATTTGCCTAAAGTGCAGATGTTTTTGGTGAATTTAGTAGGTTCGTTTCGATGTTGACTGTACTTAAATATTTTTTTTTATAGGACCCTATAAGTCACTTCGTCTATTACAATATCACTGCTATAATTGTACTATATTAAATGCCACTGCTGAACACGAGTCTCCTTCAAACCTTAATCCACCACAACGACCTAACGGTAATGGCGCATCGCGTAGAGAACTCGACTACCGAGTTCATGAGCATACATCCCGATAAGCAAGAATCACACCAATGGACTGTGCTGTCGGGTTGTTATGCATTTTCGTATGCAAATTGAAACATGAGGATATTTCTAACTTGAATAAGTGTGTTAGTGAATGTGTTAAATTTAAATAATTATAATTGTGTTCTGGAATTAAAATTTGTATATAGTGATGCTGATGTTTTAATGCACTGTGTTATATTGTAAATAAAGATTTGAAAATAATTTGTATTTGTCGGTAAATGACACTGCGTGAACGTATGGATTTGTTGCGCAATTTTTGTTCTGGCAACAATATGAACAAAACACTCGCACAAACACTCCAAACATAAATCAGGCTATAAGCTCAATAGTGGTGTAATCCACATTAAATTTTTTTTCTACAATATTATTGTAAATATACAATTTTTATGTATAAAATGATAGATGAAAATTTCGTCCAAATATAAAATAATTATGTGTACATTATTGTCATTTAAAGTAGCAGAAGAGCGCCTTGTAAAAGAGTTCGTCTAGGTAAGTACTGCTACTTTACCTAATTCTGCTGCCAAGCAGTAATGTGAGCATTACTGCGTTCCGGTTTGGAAGGGTAAGAGTGCTGATGAAATTACAGACACATGGGACTTGTCAACTTACATCTCAGGGTGACGGAAGATCTTTGCGATTTAAAGCTCTGAGTGGCACTGCAACTGTTATAGACAGGCGTGTCGCTTACCACCAGGCGCACGACTTGTCCGTCCCGTCACTTAGTATTATAAAAAAAAGTAATATTGTAGAAAAAAAATAAAGCGCCGCAATAAAGTAATGCCTCAATCAAAGCTATAAAATGCCATCGCTCCAGTTTAAAAGTAACTTATCCAGATTTGTATAGTGGAGATAAGCCGGGTTTTCACTATACGAGTACGCTGGGCCCAGTCCACTCAGACGTTACTCCTATACTCGTAATTATGTAAACACGTGAAGCTGGGTTTTCACTATACGAGTACACTCGGAGCGAGAGCACTCGGATGACTAGTTTGACGCCTAGTAACGTGTTGATTGAATGCCGATATCCGAGTGCGCTCGGATGCGTGCCTTGTTCCAGCGTGACTATGGTCGAGTTTCTGAAATTTGACTAGCCAGATAAAAGTCACTATTTAGTCGGTTCTGGACCCCGATTCAGAACTCTACGACATTTTAATAGGACGAGAAATAGATTTTTAAGTCTTTAAAGGCCTCAAATTTAGGAATGCATTAGTCTTGCATTAAAATAAATTAATGAAATTGATTTGATTACATCCTTGTTTTGTAAACAATAGGACGGTCAGTAACTTTCATTCGATGTGTGTTCTGAATAACGTTTGTAGCCTTTGCCGGTCGAGAATTCGAATAATCATACTAGTGTGACGTCATTTTGGCTCGCTTTCGAATGACAGTTTGACGTTCCATTCGGGTGTTGTGAGTAAAAATGAAAAGAAATCAGTCGACAACCGAGTTATCATAAGGTTCCGAATCGAACCCCTAGTCGCAAAAAAAATATAGATTTAAGGCCCATTTAGATGGAGAGAGTTTCTCGTCTCGAAGATACGATTATCGAAAGAATATAAAAAATATTTCCTCGTCGAAACATTCGCGAGTATCGCCCTTCCACATGAGCGATAATCGCCTCGCCTTTGAATATTGAACGTCTCTGTGTAAACAGAACTCGAAAGCAAATCGTATTTCGAGTTTCTGTGCCAGCCATTTCTCGAGTGCAGTGCACGGGGGTGTTTTGATTATCACTGCTTTTTTAAGACAAGAATTAACGAAACGAGAGCGAAAAAAAAATTTGGGTTAAGAATGTTATAAAATTTGAAAAAAAAATTTTTAAATGTATATTTTTAAACAGTGCAAATAAATTTGAAGATTCATATTGAGTGATTATTGCGGTATGACTATAAAACATATCATTTCGATATGTTTTATAGTCATACCGCAATAATCACTGAACTCGAATGGCGATTCTCGCACTCAAAACGGTTCGAACCGATTTGTACGATAATCGTATGAACTTGAAAAAATGTCATACGAGATCGTGTTTACACAAGAATCTCCTTACTACATATTTCTCTGTGTAAACAGTCGAGGAGGCGATTAAGTTGCTTGCGAATCTCGTATGACATAATCGTAGGCGAGATATTAGTTCTTGCCTGAATGTAAACATTATGATACGATAATTTTATGGCGATTATTGCCTAGGATAATCGCGTACGATTTTTCGTCACGAAGCGTGCGATAAAATCTCTACATCTAAATGGGCCTTTATTGTAATTCGAAAATTTCGCGACTAGACTAATTCACGATTTTTTTTGCGTGCAATCAGATCTAATCTAGGAGCTGTGGTTATCGAGATACAAAAATGGTACCGCCGGGAATAAGCTTGTTCCAGGGTGGACAGCAAAACACCTTTATAACTTCAAAACGGCGTAACGACTAAATCTAGTTTTTTACGATTAGAACCGACTAAACCACGACTTTTTTTAGTGTAATTAGATCTAGGCTAGGTGTTGTGGTTCTCGAGGTTGAGAAATGGTGCCACTGGAATAAAAGCTTATTCCAGGGTGGACAGTAAAACACCCTTATAACTTTTAAGCGGCGGTCCGACTAAATCTAGTTTTTTGCAACTAGAACCGACTAAAGAGCGACTTTTTTCTGGCTAGCCAAATTTCAATCCATTGTCACGCTGGAATAAGGCACGCCACTCTGATCACGTATTTACACGTTACAAGTAGCGTCCGTGTAGTCATCCGAGTGGACTCGGACGCGGTTCTATTTTTCCGAATGGCAAAAACTTAGAAAAATTGGAATTAACGTGACTCTATGAGGATTTAAATGTGTTTTTTACCTTTTTCTTCCACATCTCGAATAAAATTATATTAATCACTCGTATGGTCCGTCTTAAAATTTTATTGTGTCTTGTAATTTTATATTATTTAAAGTTTATTATAATATTTGTGCTAATGTCCCTAAACAAAATGTTTTTTTTTATGCTTGAATAAAGAATTTCATTCTGTTGCTTTGATTTTTGCGAGAACTGATATAGCGAAAACCCGGCTTAGACGTCACGGATAGGAGACTTGAATGTATTATTTTCGGCCATATTGTAAAAATTTTTTAGTAAGTTAAAAATATGATAACATAGAAATTAAAATGAGTTTCTTATAATGTTTGTTTTTTTAACCGACTTCAAAAAGGGAGGAGGTTCTCAAATTTACTGGTTTTTTTTTGTGTGTGCTACTTACTGTTCAATATAGCAGTTTGATTATCACATTAATTGACAGTTATTAACATCATGAAATTCAATTAAAAAATCATTAACCGCCGTTTTTTTAATAATACCAAGTGACGGGACGAACAAGTCGTGCGCCTGTTGGCAAGCGACACGCCTGTCCAAAGCAGTTGCAGTGTCATGCAAATATCTGAGAGGCACTGCGACTGCGCCCGTCACCCTGAACATAAGTTGAGAAGTCTCATTTCCCAGTAATTTCACCAGCATCCATATCCTTCAAAAACACTTATAAGTAAGAAATTATAATGACAGACTAAATTGTGTTTGATGCGCAGATCACACCGCGAACGAAGCTAAGTTAGCTCAGCTCACGTAGCCGGGGCATATTTCCATAGTTCGGTTCAAATCACGAACTAAACTAACCCATCGATCTCGGTCGCTAAGTAAAATATATCGCCCTTCACGTATACGGATAGTGACTTTGGAGTCTAGACTTAATACGTATATTACCTGAGCTAAACTAGCTTAGCTGGCATGGATTTTTTTATTTGTATACACGCTTTTTTCCTCCGACATGGCGGTCGAGCACTTAGTCGGTGAATATGGCTTGTTACTTTTTTATTGTTTATTTTGGTTATACCTTTATGGAGTGTGATCGGGTTCCGTTCGACACGTTTTGGTACCTGCGGAGTTCCACCTCACAAGTTCTTACACTTATTTATACAGTACTCTCCTCATTAACAGTTTTTTTTCTTTTCTTACCTTTGTATTAATAAGCATAAAAAACCATGAGACAATCTATATTTTATTGAAAAAATAAACAGTAAAAAAAATAATTTTCTACACATTATAACGAAATGGGCATGTCCATCCTAAGAAAACGTTCGTACTTTAGGTAAATTCGTTTTTTTGTCAGATTTGTCTTATTTAATGTTGTCGAGTTCTTAGGTGTTCGCGATTGTTACACATAGAAAATGAAACTAGTTTTCCGGATTTAAATCGCGTATATTATGTTTATTTTGTTTTAACCGCCACGGTTGGCTTGACCATGGGACCTGTTAAGGGCCCGAAACGTTGGTTTGTTTGAAAAACATATATACACGATTTAAATCCGGATAAATAGTTTCATTTCCTAATTTAATGTTTTTTTTTTTATTAATTATTATTTCTTTAATTTTGTTTTCCTTGTTAGTGTCATTTTTTTTTGTATCTGTGTTGTCGCGTTGCAATAAATGTCTATTCTATTCTAAATTAACTTCATTAAATGCGATTATTGCTAATCATAGTCGATAGTGGAAAATAAATAACTATAGTTCATGTAAAATACTTATTTATTCAGCTGTTAATTTGTTTAAAAATTCTATTATTAGTAACAAACATCTTGGACCAAAATCTTAAAGGGACTGTTAATCCGATACAAGATGGCGATGTCGGGTATTTAGTACCCATTGGTACACCAGATGTCGCGACGAGTACCAAGTAGCTGTTTCTGTAACTAATTTGTGCAATTTTTTTTTCAACGCACTCACTCATAGCCCCCGCACTAGGATAACCCTGTATCGCGGGTGCCATAGCTCCGAGTGGCACAGGCACAAGGTAATTGTCAAATTATGTCTCAGGGCGACAGGCGCAGTGATAGTGCCCCTCAGATCTTTGCAATTTAAAGCTCTGAGTGGCACTGTAACTGTTATGGCGTGTAGCTTACCTTAAGGTGCACTACTTGTTCGTCCCGTCACTTGATGTTATTAAAAAAAAAGAATTTTGAACTTTTTCAGAGATCTGTGGTATAGAGATAAGCAATCCTCTTGAATTTATTGGTCCATGGTAACAGTAAGGTATTTATTTATTACAATATCTAGCGAAACTAAAGACACAAGTATACGTGCCAGCATTGGGTCTGATCTCGGGGTATCCAACCACATGTTCTTATGCGAAAATAGTACTCAAGTTTAGCGGAATGTCAAAAAAATTGTTGGGTTATGATAACAATGTATGAGCATTGTACCAGACCACACGTACCAGAACTTTTTAACTTGGAAATATGTGCATTGTTATCATAATTCAACATTTTTTTTACCGACTTTAAAAAAGGAGGAGGTTCTCAGTTCGACTGTTTTTTTTTAATGTGTGTTACGCGATTACTCCGGCATTTATGAACCGATTTTTTCGTCTCATTTAAAATCGTCGTAACGACAAACGAATCGCGAAACGACAGTTAATCGTGTCGTTCTATATGTGAACAACTTCATTTAAATATACAAACCACGACATTGTAAACTGCACGACTATCTGTCGTCACGACATAGTGGGAACGCAATCTTAATTGTTTTAGAAATTACAGATCTAAAATAGTTTCAAACATGTAATAGTTTCAAGGCATTTAAACTGAGAATTTAAGGAAGGCATTTAAGGAGAAGGTTTTAATTCAATACAATTGCAAAACAATAGACAAATTGCTAATTTCCGCCATTTTAAATATATATTCAAAGATGGCCTTGATTCTTTTTCGTAGGTCTTAAACAAATTGTTTGAAAGACCACAAAAAACCAAAAGACCAAAAAAACATTCTCGCGACGCGAAGGTTTTTTTTTGTCTCGCATAAAGAGTCGTAAATTTTATACAGACACTTACACCAACTCTACACGGTTCAATTTTGTACAAAAAATCTTGTTCTGCGGTGCCAACATAATATCACCTAGGTATATTTAGGTTGTTCTCACACAGCGACATTTCGACTTTGTATGGAGTAGTTCACATTATCACACGCGGTTATCGCAATTATGCACGATAGCGCTGCGACAGCTGTGTGCAGAGATTAGCAAGCGCCTGGGTTGTAACCCGGCGGTTTGTTAACGCCGGGTTTAAATCGAGTTAAAATCCATTACTTCTCAAAATCGAGGGAAAAAACTGTTGATAACTAAATATTTGTTGTAAATGAAGTTTATTACGTATAAACTTAATGATTATTACAAAATGTTTATTGCTTTCAGATCTAGAGTATTCGATTGCCTTTCTATTTAATCGATTCGCGTGTAAATCGCATTCAAATAATCGATACAAAAAAATCGTTTGATCATATGCACTTGAATCGACCTTCATAGAAATCGAATCGTGCATCCTCAATAGTGAGAATCCACAGGATTGCAAGGTGGGTATTGTGTGGAGTTGTCTCTTTTTCGTCTAAAAAAGATCTTTTCCTTCGAAATTTCTAATGAGTAGAAAAACGGGAGGTAAAACGGACCGCACCTATAACTATGAAACTATTAGTGTCATCTATTACCGACTTACTTATACTTGGTAGTGGCCTCTCTCTCATTTACGGTCAGTGGTCTCGGAGGGGACATCAGCGCACGTTTTTATAAAGGTAAGTTATTTTTAGAGAACTTTGATGTAAAAAAAAAGCAAATTTAGATTAGCCTTTACTTTTATTATGCAACTAATATTCGTTTCTAAGTACTTTTGATTTAAATTAATCTCGCAATATTTAACTATTTACATACCTACTTAAAAGGCAAAATGGAACGGGTAAAATGGACCACGTGGTCCGTTTTGCCATCAAATGTTTTTGTCTGCAATATTATTATCGGATTTTGATATTTCGAATGATTTTTTATTTCAGGTCGTTAACCTATAAAAGAAAGAAAGAAAGTGATGAGGACATGCAAATAAGAAAGTAAGAAATCGCCGTTTCCGCCCACGATTTTGGGCAGAAATTAGTTAAAAATAATAAAACCCACTGCCCATCTCTGGCTGTGTGTGATCTGAATGCGATGGTACGGTGTGAGAACAACCTTAAAGGCCCTTTCCACGTATTGCTGTGTTGTGTGTATATATATATATATATATATATTTATTGTATGTATATGTAAAATCAATCGCTAAGGTCAAGATCCGAGTCGGAGTCATCTCCTCGATCCCGTATGGTCTTCTTCGCCTGGACATTCAGCGCGCGTTGCTTTCTCGCTTCAGCTGGCGGTACCAGAAGGTCGCCAGAATATTCTATTACCTCTGACCTGGAAAATTATCCATAGTTGAACATATATAGTTTTGGTAGCCTTTCGGTGCTGGTGTTTCACCAAGTGTAACTTGAAATTCAGTGTAACGTTCAGAGGGAAATGTAGATCGTGTTTTCAAAACCCATGACTCTACGAGTTATTTGCAAAATACGAACAACCTCTACGGACTATGTTACTATCGTTATAAACAACAAGTTTTATTCCATGACTTTTTAAACGATTTCAAAAAAAAGGAGGGTCTCAATTCGACTGTACGTTTTTTTTTGTATGTAAGTTACGCGACAACTCCGGTTGATGATTCTTTTTTGAGGGTACCTCAGCAGTGGTCCCATTTAAGTTTGAAGAAAATATTCCACCTCTAAGGGTGACAAGCTATGGGATGAATGACATTTGAATTTGAATGACATCATTATTTATTTTTAAAAAACTATACAAGGCATATTTACTTAACGCCCACCAATCTCCAGCGTAGCTGTTTTTGTGTCGAGTTAGCATGTTAGCAGATTAAGTTATAATTTATTTTTCAGTTAATTGTTATTACTGTAATTATGATTGTAAGTTAGTTAAGGGCAATAAATTTAATATTTTATACATTTTAATATATATAATTTGATACAATTTAAAGTTTGGATAAATATAACATACAAAGAAAATAAAAAAAAAGTATTTGTCAATTTTAATTTTCAAAGAGTGGAGTCATTTGCCTGTCAAGTATAAAAAAAAAAAAAAAAAAAAATTGTATATTTGTGACGTCCACTGTGTTCCGTGCCGCACGAATCAACGCCGAATCCACTGAAAATCAGCGTCATACCACACTTTCAGTGAGACGGCAATAGCTGAGTGGATGACGGATTCAGTGGCTGCACAGCACACATCCTGTCTCCCTTATCTTTCTTTCTTCTATTTTTTATGTTTTTGTTTTGTTTGTAAATTGTATGTGTGCTGTGCTTTACATTGAATAAATAATTTCTATTTCTATTTGAGGTCGGTTTCTTTAGTAGTCTGTACTGAGATTATTAGAGTATACACTATTTTGTACCGGGTGTTTTTTTAACTAACCAACTCCAAAATAGGAGAAGGTTCTTAATTTAACGGATTTTTTTTACATATACGTTACAAATTTGTGAACCGATTTTGATGATTCTTTTTTGTTGGAAAGAGGGTACCTCAGTATTGGTCCCATTTAAATGTTAAGAAAATATTCCACCTCTAAGAGTGACAAACTAGGGGATGAATCCGGTTTCGCGCTCTTTCCGGCAACTTCAATAAAACTTGGCAAGTTGATGTAATTCCACAAACTTCTGAGGTCGGTTTTTTAGTACTCTGTACTCAGATTATTAAATGGCTAAAGTATTTAAATACATAATTACATATAGAAACACAACTACAATATTATTTTTTGCGATAATAATTTAAAGCAAAAATTTTAATTTGTTGCCTATTTACTCATATTTCAATAAATAATACGCATATACACATTGACTTACAAATAAATGGACGACGGGTCTAATACAAAAACCACGAAAAAAATGTCCCAAGTCAACCTATTTAAACGTAGTGACATGTAAAGGAATATGAAAAAGCTAAAACGTTGAATTTAAATTGTAATGACATCGAAATACTGTCTAATTTTGCTTGCTTCGCTGTCAGTCGAACAAACGAAGACTATGTGAATGACGCTCTGTATACGATTTTAACGCCCTATAAGTTCGGACACTTTTTAGCGCGGACCCAACGTCCATATAATTGTAAGTCAATGCATATACATAACATTATCAGTTCCGAGAAGTCCCGTAATTTCTAGAAGGGAATGTCCACGTTATTCTTTAGTTTAGCTAAATGAACTCCCTCAATTCCGGTCACTAGTGATTTATTGCACTAGTGATCAAACAATTCAGAACTAATGTTGGCTACATAAATTTAAAACTTTATTATATAACTGCTCTAACAATTCTGTAACTTTACAATTTAATTTGACTACATTTACATTATTTGCTTTGAATAATCACATCCATTTGTTTGTATGTAACATACCACGCAGTAAACGCTTCTGATGCTATGTTATATGTGCGTGCTGTATTTGCCTATTATAGGGTTTACACTCGAGTAATTCCTGCAGTGTTATATTATGTCCATGTTTAATAGTGTATTTCTGTTGGCGAATCTAATAAATAAATAAAGTGTCCAGTCTTACCTGGCCAGTCTCCATTCTAGCATATCTGTGGCAAAATCATCCCTATTCCCAAGCTCAGTGAAGCCAACAATGAAGTCCTTGGTCTTATTGTCCTTCACCAGTGCTATGGTGGGGATCACGCGGATTTTGAGTCGACCTGTGGGATTCAAATAGGGTGTACATGAGTTTGCAGTCTGTGACATGCAATATTGGTAACAACATGGTAACAACAGTAATTATTAATACAAATATTGAACACTTAGAAAAAATTCCTTCGATCCGGCCGGATCCGGAAACCGTGCCTACTAGCTGGGGCTGGTAGCTGTAAAGGTAACTGGGTGACGAAATACTTTCATAGATTTCTCATACATAGCGCTATGGCTAAAAAGTCGTTTACAAACCAAACACAAAGATACGACAACAAACACATAGAAAAATTCGTGAGGTCGGCTGGTTCGTTACGTGGCTTAGTTGGCATAGCGTCTGTCACGGTTTGCTAGAAGACGTCGGTTCGAATCCGGCAGGATAATAATAATAATCTTTATTGCAAAACACACAAAAACAGGTACAGAGATATGCCTAACTCCCAAACTAGGATCCCCTGTACCATGGGTAACTAGGTCTTACGTCCGTCAAGTGTGTTGCCTAAAAATAACAGTAACTTAGTCTGTTTGTTACAATAAGTAAGTATATTACAGTAAGCTTAAACAGAGTACTAAAAATACCGACCTCAAAAGTACGTGGAATTACGTCTATTTGCCAAGTTTTATTGAAATATCCCCTAGTTCGCCACTATACAGGACTTGACATAGGGGATAATAAAATCGGTTCTCACTACTCAAAGTATACTGAGAGAGAAAAACGCCTTGAATTGGAGAATAGCAAAACCAACCATTAAAATAATTGCTCCTTAAGAAAAATTTAGGCGCTATTTATAAAAATGAATGTTCATGCGTAATCAGCTTCCCTTAGAGGTGGATGATTTTATTCAAAATGAAATGGAGGAGGAGGACCACTATGGAAGTACCCTCTTTCCAACAAAAAAAAGAATCATGAAAATCGGTTCACAAATACCAGAGTTATCGCGTAACATACATACAAAAAAAACAGTCGAATTGAGAACCTCCTCCTTTTTTTAAAGTCGGTTAAAAACATTAATGGAAGAACACAATCGATCGAATCGGGAACGAAGGAATTTTTTCTAAGTGTTCGTATTAATAATTTTAAGAAACTAATTTTAATCTAATTTAAAAAACTTTGTATTAATAATTACAACAAACTAGTGAAGTAATTTCATATGAAAAATAATTGAATATCAATTCAATAAAAATTCCTATACAGGGTCATTTGAGAAATACTAACAACTTCACGGTACTAGTACACAACATAAACAAATTTTTTTCAATGGCTTTTTACAAAACATAATAAATTTATCAAATATAAGCTTTTAAGTTTTTGTTTTACTATCTGTATTTGGTAGGAAGTTCAAACGTAGAAGCATCGAGTAAATGACCAGAAATAGAGACGAAATAGTCCATGCGTCTCTGGCAATTTATCAGGCAAATGGGCCTTATATCACTTTTAAATATCAACTCTCGTTTGCGCTGAAATCACAAATTAGAAAGCTGAAGTAGGACAGCGCCAACAACTGACCTGTGTGTATGTGTCCGTATATTCCAAAAATATTCTGTATTTAGTGTGATAAAGATAATATCTCTAACTATGGGGGAGTCTTCCATTTGTTTGTGTGGGAAAAACAGCAAATCATCTAATTACAAAACAAACGGAATCACATTTTATCGTTAAATATGAAATATGTAATTTTTAAATTTTCGTCCATCATAGCAAAGCTCAAGTTAAACTGGTCGATATGAAGTGAAACAATTGATGACACCCGTCAATTGTTTCGAGTTTGGGCTGGTCAATCGGAGCGCAGTTGTCACCGTAATGATTTGGCAGAATAGTTTTAAAACATTGATTGACATTTCGTCTCTATTTCTGGTTATATACTCGACGCGTGCAAGCGTGCTTCCCGGCAACTGCTACTCCACCTCCTGCGTTTTTATAATGTTAGTAATATAATCCTGCGAGGTTGTTAGTATTTTACAAATACACTGTTACGAGTCCCACTGTTGGGCACTGGTCTCCTCTCACAATGAGTGGGCCTGGGCCTAATGAGAATTCTGAACTTCACACACTTGAGATGATTGTGATCAATTTCCGGCAGGGTATACACGCAATTTGTTTGTATACATATTCAGGGTAAAACAGCTTTCATAGAAAAAGCCTTTGTATATCAAGGTGGTCGGTCGATTGTTTAATAAGGTTAACAAACTGTCATATCCACCCCCAAAACAAGGGAATACAGAAGGGTTGTTTCAAGCTGGCTTATAAAACTTAGCTACGAGAAGACTTTAGTAGCAGTAGAGTGCCTTGTGAAAGAGTTCGTCCAGGGAAGTACTGCCACCTTACCTATTTCTGCCGCCAAGCAGTAATGTCTGCATTACTGTGTCCCGGTTTTGAAGGGTAAGGGTGCTGGTGAAATTACAGACACATGGGACTTGTCAACTCATGTCTCAGGGTGACGGGCGCAGTGGCAGTGTCCTTCAGAACTGTTATGGACAGGCGTGTAGCTTACCATCAGGTGTCTCCAGCTATATGACTAACAGAAGTGTTGCAGTATTAGACATACTCTCACAACACACACGAACACACCTACTCAAATATGCTGTTTCTTTTTGGTTTTTGTTTCTGTTTTACTTTTGTCATATGTATGTCATCGATCATCAACTAAAACCCATAGTCTATTTTTTTGAAGACGGAGTAAAATGACAGTTAATTGCGCAAGTGTTGCCCGCTTGCGAGCAGCTAGCAATCGCAGTCGACGAATATTCTATCGAGTATCGAGTGAATATTGGTCACGTTTATAATAATAATAATAATAATAATAATTTATTCGCATTAAGTGTGGTGTACATAGTTGGCTTAATATATAATATTTCTATTAACAGGTTCTCACACTTAGCTAGTAATAGCATGCAAATTTACCTTAAAATGAGTATATCTATCATAATTATTAAAATATCTTATACATTTAAAATAATGAGTCTCAATAATGTCAAATTTAAACAAATACCTAATTATTTTTGTAGTCAAAAAATTCTTCAATTGAGTAAAAACAACAGTTAGACAACCATTTGGATAACCTATTTCGGAACATTGTATTTGGCGTATTTTTTAAATCAATCGGTAGCGAATTATATATTTTGACACACATAGGTAAACAGTTACGACAATACACTTCTATTTTTATGTTGACCGGTACAGTAAGTCTGTCCGGAAACCTCGTGTTATATGTATAAAGGTTCATGTCGTTTGAATAGTGAATAATTTTGCTTTACGATAGAATAAATAGCCGAACTTGTTTCATTTGGATCATCCTCGACCCATTGTTCATCCAATTACTGATAACAAGCTCATTTGAATTGTCAATTTTTGTAAGTTAATACATAGATACACTGTATTTAGACCTATGTTTATGAAATTAACAAAGAGGAGACGATTTTTAAAGTTGTATTCTAATTCAATATCGGATTCTTGTTATTAAAATGTATATGGATAAAAATTGATCTCGATACTAGTAGGCCAACTGTCAAAATAAGAATAAAGAAAACAATAGCGCAATTAGTACTTGGTACTTGGTGTAACGGGCTGGTGTCCGCAACTCGACGACAAGGCGCCTATTAGTAATCATTAGAACATCGTAACATTCACAATGCAGTCATTTTTGGCAAATTTTTATCTCCTTTCACAATCTATCGATAAAACTATCGACAACAACTACATGTTCAAAATTTTATGAAACGTGGCAACCTTACAAATGTCATTTTAATGCGTCTTCCAAAAAAGACAGACTAAAGTATTTGTAATGTAATCGGGTGTTGGAGACCAGGAGACCATAGCACAGGTCTAACCTAGTTTGAGCTCCTGTCTCCTAACCTTTTGCCTATGATTGTTATGGTACCTAGACTACACGATATATAGAAAGTAATCGATTTCTTTATTAAATCACCGGTGTGCTGTTAAAAATCTTTACCAGTAAGGAACGGTGCCCTCTCCGCGTCCAGCTTAACGAAACGTGTTTCAACATGTTTCTGAGCCAAAATCTTAAGGTGCATGTCGACTATCTTGCAGCGCGGTGTATCGTTTTTGTAGAAGTGACAAACAACTCGGTCACTCTTATTGCAAATGCCGAAGAAGTCCTTTTCGCCGTCGATTTCTGTGTATGTGCCGTGGCCCTGGAATTATTTAACCCTTTTACATACTGAAGTAATCTTAATGATTGTTATTTACTGTTGGGTACTTTCGAAAAATTTGAAACACCTGTACGTGTATGCATGTAATTATATAAAACCAATTATATTACATGGTTTTATACGAGGCGAGAATAATCCACAGGGATTGACATCATAACGTGGAGATTGATATCCAAGTGTTACAGGGTTCAAATTAAGAAAAAAAAATAGTATTTTTTTTTAGCATCCTTTTTTTATGATATCAAGTGACGGTAAGAACAACTCATGCGCATGGTGGTAAGCGACACGACCACTTAGTGCTTTAAATTGCAAAGATCGGAGGGGCACTGCCACTGCACCTGTCACCCGGAGACGTAAGTTAACAAGTCACTTAACTCAAGTTACCCTTCAAAACCGGAACGCAGCAATGCTCACATTAATGCTAGATTAAGGTGGCAGTACTTCCCTAGACGACATCTTTCACAAGGAGCCTGGCTGCTAATAAAAACAAATGTCGCATTTCGAGTTCTTAGGTTTTCGCGATTGTTAAACATAGCAAATGAAACTATTTTTTCGGATTTAAATCGCGTATATTTGTTTTTTCAAACACACCAACGTTTCTGGCCCTGTAAAGGGCCAACCAACGTTTCGGGCCCTTTACAGGTCCCATGGTAATGGGCCCGAAACGTTGGTTACGTTGGTGGTAAATAACATATTATACGCGATTTAAATCCGGAAAAATAGTTTCATTTCCTATATGTTGCATTTCCAAAACTCTGTGCGATACTTACATTGGCTAACCACTCTTGCTTTTTCTTAGCGCGCTCTTTCATCTCATTGATACGTTGTTGGCGAATTGCCTCCAAATCACTGCTATCCAGCTGATCCAGTCTGTAATTAAAAACACCATGAGTATTACCAGGTTTACATAGAGGCAAGCAAAATGGACTACATATAATAATAATAATAATAATAATAACGCACACACTCAACATAGCCCCGCACTAGGGAAACCCTGTGTCGCGGGTGCCATGGACACACATAGACAACCACAAATTACACCCAAACTCACGAGAGAAATAAATGTAGGTCATACAAATATTTCTCCCGGCCCGGGAATCGAACCTGGGACCTCTGCGTGGCAGTCCGGCATGGTAACCGTTCGGCCACGGAGGCAGTTAACATAACTTCTAGCTACATACCTTACCTATTTCTGCTGCTACTGCGTTCCGGTTTCGAAGGGTAAGGGTGCTGGTGAATTACAGGCATATGGGCGTTGTAAACTTGTCTCAGGGTGACGGGCGCAGTGGCAGTGCCCCTCAGATCTTTGTGATTTAAAGCTCTGAGTGGCACTGCAACTGTTATGGACAGGCGTGTTGCTTATCATCCGGCACACCACTTGTTCGTCCCATCACTTCATATTATAAAAAAAAATTCAAGTCTAATTTAATTACTAACGAAATAAAAGAGATTAGATTTGAATTCAAATAAAATAATAGAAAATAGTATATAATAATAAAGTCAAGTCTACATCAACAACGTTATGTTTAAAAATAAAGTTAAGTCTTCAGTAACAAAATTGAAGTATTCCTTTCCTCGTATTTAAAATAAACTAATAGCAACAACATTAAAGTTTTTTTTTATAACATCTGGTGACGGGACAAACAAGTTGTGCACGGTAAGCTGCACCCCTGTCCATAACAGTGCAACTCAGAGCTTTAAATTGCGAAGGAAGCGGGGTACTATCACTGTGCCCATGACACTGAGACATAAGTTGACAAGTCCCATGTGTCTGTAATTTCACCAGCACCCTTACCCTTCAAAACCGGAACACAGTAATGCCGACATTACCGCTTGGCGGAAATAGGTAAGCAGTGGCAGTAGTTCCCTTGACGAACTCTTTCACAAGGAGCTTCTCTACTGCTTCTTAAATTTTTATTGAATTGATATTCAACTGCCTCCGTGGCCGAACGGTTACCATACCGGACTGCCACGCAGAGGTCCCCGGGTTCGATTCCCGGGCCGGGAGAAATATTTGTATGGCCTACATTTATTTCTCTCGTGAGTTTGGGTGTAATTTGTGGTTGTCTATGTGTGTGTCCATGGCACCCGCGACACAGGGTTTCCCTAGTGTGGGGCTATGTTGAGTGTGTGCGTTATTATTTATTATTTATTATAATTTTTTGTGAAATTACTAATTATATAATACTAATTAATTACATCAAAATTTAAAACACAGTGAATAGCGACATCTCTTGCCAGGGCCGGTAGCTGTAAAGGTATCTAACTGGGTGATAAAACTTTCAAAGATTTCTCATAGATGGCGCTACGACTAAAAAGTTATTGAAAAACCAAATACAAAGACACTACAACAAGCACAGAAAAATTCGTGGGGTCCGCTGGTTCGTTCCGTTGCTTAGTTGGTATAGCGTCTGGCACGGTATGCTAGAGACGTCGGTTCGAATCCGGCCGGATCGAAGGAATTTTTTCTGAGTGTTCGATCTTTGTATTAATAATTATAACAAACTAGCTCTATTGCTACTAAAATATTTCAAAAAGTATTTATTACAGATACCTCTCAATTTCATTGTCCAACTGCTTCTCCACAGTTTTAGCAATATTCTGAATTACTTCTTCCATTTTTATGGTTTCACTGAAAACATAGAGTTTTATAAAATATAGAAACAGATTTCGTAACTCGCTGGGTGTCTAATAAGCGCACAGACAAACGGCCAGCTCGGCCATCGCCAAATTCGCGCCGCGACTCCAAAAACCAGTGGATTTTTAGATTATATTTATTATAACTATTACAAATACAGGCAACATTATTTCATTTATCATTTTTATACTACAGCCAACCTTTTTTTTTTGTCTTTTTCATTTCATGTAATATCCAAGCAAAAAGTTTTAATGGTTAAAAAAATATTAATCTTTACATAAGTTTTTTTTTTAGATAACTAAAAGTTTGTATATGTCACATTCAGCTTCTAATGATGACCAGAGTTCAGCCTTTAGAAGTTTACAACTTTAATAATTCATCAGATGTACAAAAATATTCAGTAAAACGCTCTAAACGATGACTACTCTGTGCAAAACGCTAGAGCCCAGGTTAACTTACTATATACAGATCTAAAAAGTGTCAGATAGTACAACATAAACTTAATAGTTTAGTTTTGGTAAGTGTATTATGTTTTGTAAAAAGTCTTAGAACAAAAGTTATTGCTTATGATGTTAGTAATATAGTCCTGAAAAATGGTTAGTATTTTACAAATACTGAGTATATAATCAGAAATAGAGACAAAATAATGCTATCCATCCCTGGCAACGCATCAGGCAAATGGGCCTTATATCACTTTTAAACATTAACTCTCGTATGCACAGAAATCACAAATTAGAATGCTGAAATAAACCAGTGCCAACAACTGACCTGTGTGTACATCTCCATATATTCCAAAAATATACTGTTTTTATTGTAATAAAGATAATATCTCTAACTATGGGGGCTGTTCCATTCGGTGGTGTGGGAAAAACAGCAAAATATCTAATTACAAAACAAACTGAATCACATTTCATCAGTAATTAAATACATAACTTTGCAATTTTCGTCCATTATAGCAAAGCTCATGTTAAACTGGTTGATTTGAAGTGAAACAATTGACGACACCCGTCAATTGCTTCGAATTTGGGCTGGCCAATCGGAGCACGGTTGTTATTTTAATGATTTGGCAGAATAGTTTGCAAACAAATTAAATGATATTTCGTCTCTATTTCTGGTTACATACTCGATGTGTTTGATGATTATAGATATATATACGAGAGTGCGACAATTTGTAACATTAAAATATTTAGCCAAAAGGTTGAGAAAGCAGAATTACGGATTTTATTTGGAAGAGGCGCGGAATTTTGATGAAAAAGGATGTGGTAGGTTGGGTTACATTATATTATTATTTTCGATAAATGAGGCCAGTATATTATAAACATCTTTGTTGCATAAATATATAGAGTCTTTATGTAGGAGGCGTACAGCAAGTTATGATCTATTAAAACATACGCTATTAGAAATAGTGTTAATTCATTTATTTACTAAAGTATTAATGTAATAACAAGTATTAATGCATTTATTTAAAATTTCTATAAAACTAGCGTACGATGACCTCATTTCAAATTGAAAGCACCGTATGAATATGGATTCAACGAATATAAAGAAACTTACGGTCGAAATAAAAAAACTAACACGCAAAGTGGTAAATCACAATGTAAATATGTTGCACGTACAATTTTATTCAACAATTTCACATTAAAAACAGTTTTTTTAGTAAAACAAACTTATATGTATTTGTATTTACTTCACGGCCTTTTGACATTGACGCGATGTGTGTTTGAAAGATGAGATGAATTACTACTGGCAGAATAATTATTACCACTTTTTTCCACTCCGATGAAATAGTAGAAACTTAAAATTAAAAATGCTATTTCCGAACACAGACCTTCCAACGAATGTATCACAGATCTAATACAAAAACCACGAAAAAAATGTCCAGAGTTAAAAACGTAGTGATATCTATAGAAACATAGATAAACTAAAATATTAATTTCAAATTGAACATTATTGCTGTCTGCTTAATTTTGCTTGCAACAATTTAAAGTCCCTTAAAATCTTAAAATTCATCAAAATTTAGAATCTATTCTAGTGAAGACTACTTGAACACAAGTACAATGGAGTAGCCTTTATTGTCAATATTAAATAATTTATTTTACGATAAAATTATGTACACTTTTGTTATTTATAATAATTTTTATAATTATAAATGTGAAAATAATTGTGTCTTTGTATTTGTTACCTAATTTATGCTTTGAATTTTCAGATTCCAACTAAAAATTGCATAATCCTGAAAACCGATTTATAATAAAACTGAGCTTGCAGGGAATTTCCGATGCTTATCACAATTAAGTTTAACTTAGCGTAGGTTTTCTTTGCAATATTCCTAAAAAAAAGGGATTCAGAAAATTCGACAATCGTTATTTCGGGCAAATGTATTTTCGGACTTTTGATAAGTATAACCCTAAGCCACATAAAGAGTACAACAATATTTTATTTACGTTTGTTCTAAATATTTCAATCGCTTGTGGTTAGAATAATTAAAATTAACGTAATGGCTTTCTTTCTGTCTTTTGCGCTTGCAAGTGTGGTATAAAATAAGGACAGTTTGCTATTATTTGATTCTTTTGATTGTTTTTGTAACTTATATTTACTATTAATTAATTTATATATAAATTAAATATTTTATATCACTTTTTAATGATAATGATAACACAATAAACTACTTAATGCAAATATGATACACCATCCTTTTTTACACACTTTACTTAATGCATGATTGACCAGCACGTTGTCGATCGACCAAACGAAGACTAACGCGCCATTGATGCCGTTTTGATACGGTCACTTTTCATACAAACCATTGTTTATCTAAAAAATTGGATAATAACCAAAATTATAATCCAAAACATATCAATTCACTAAGGCTCGTTAGAAAAAAAGTAAGAATATCGTCTATCAATCATCGACGAAATTGTAAAGACAGGAGTCTTTTATATGCTTTCCCACAAAATCGGCAATACTAAAAACAACCCTAGTTGTTGTGACGCGGAAAATAATGTATTTAGTTCAGTTAATTGTTTCGACAAAGAACATAATAATCAGTACAGAGTACCAAAAAAACCGACCTCAAAATTTTATTGAAATCGGGTACCTACCGAAAAGTGCACGAAAATAGATTCATCCCCTAGTTTGCTACCCTTAGAAGTGAAATATTTTCGTCAAATTTAAATGGGACCGCTATATTATAAGAAGGTACCTCACCTACTTTCCAAAAAAAAAATCGTCAAAATTGGTTCACAAATTATTTATTGGGTTATCGCCATTGACTTACAAATAAATGGACGACTGGTCTAATACAAAAGCCACGAAAAAAATGTCCCAAGTCAACCTATTCGAAATTTAAATTGTAATGTCATCGCAGTATCGCGCTGTCAGTAGAACAAATGAAGACTAAAGCGGAGTGTCGCGCTCTGTATACGATTTTAGCGCCTTACAAGTGCGAACACTTTTTAGCGCGGACCCGACGTCCATATAATTGTAAGTCAATGGTTATCGCGTAACATACATACAAAAAAAGAAAAGAAAAAGTACAAATGAATTGTGGACTTTCTCCTTTTTTTGAAGTCGATTAAAAAACTTAAATCAAATTCAAAACACAGACAACCCACATTCCTTCTAGTGTCAGCAAAACGGTTTTCCAACAGAAATAATAGACTTAGAATATCATTGGCAATGGAAACTACTTTTTGGGATCTAGATCGCGTATATTTGTTTTTCAATCGGCAAATGGTATTCTTTACGCTTATTACAGGTACTTAGAACGTATAGTAGTTCTTTAATAAATTAAAATAGCAATAGCAATGTCGAAATTTGTCACTACTAATGACAGTTCGATTTTGACAGTAAGTTGATCTGTTTTTGACACTAGTAGGTTACGTTTTTGTTGTTTCACGTTTTTTATGCAAAAAAAAATACGAATAAACAATAAATAAACGTTAATACGAATGAATTGATTAATTATTCAGTAACAGTGATATTAAAAGTGTTGTGATAATTTTTCCTATAAGAAGATTATCGAAAATGCTTCTTAATTGTTAAAATTAGAACTCTACTGGAATTTTAGTGAGTATGCTTGTAGCGTAGGCCTAATATGTTTATTCGTATCTAAAAATAGTTACTAGTATTCTATTATCGTTCTTAAAATACTATGAGTCCAAGGTTCATGGCCGCGAAATCGGACTTCGTACTAGACCTCCTTCGTGTTAAGTAACATTAATAAAAATATAGCACCTCGTTTGTTGTTTAATATGGACTTGTACGAAACGTGGGAAGTTCTAGATTTCGTTTTTCAATTTCGCGATGCATTTTCGGTTCTTTTTTTAAATTGTTTTTATTTAAATTTTGCTGAAATTTTTTGAAAAATTGCTACATGACTTAAAAAACAGCCATCGGCAGTAACTGTATGCGCTCCCAATACTGTGCACCTTACGGTAATTTTAACAAGGTTGTTTTCTTATTTGTTTGAAAATTTAAATAGTTTTGTCACTGCGTGTTGGAATAAATTAAGAACAAATGTAGCGTTGGCAATGCACAATTGCAAATGTAATAATATCTATTTGCCAAGTTTTATTGAAATTAGTTACCGGAAAGTGAGTGAAACCATGATTCATCCCTAATTTGCCACCCTGGGAGGTGGAATATTTTCTTCAAGTTCAAATGGGACCAATACTGAGGTACCCTCTTTCCAACAAAAAAGAATCATCAAAATCGGTTCACAAATGTTCGACTGACAGCGAAGCAAGCAAAATTAGACTGTATTGCAATGACATTACAATTTAAATTCAACGTTTTAGCTTTTTCATACTCCTTTACATGTCACTACGTTTAAATAGGTTGACTTGGGACCTTTTTTCGTGGTTTTCAGTATTAGACCCGTCGTCCATTTATTTGTAAGTCAATGTTTCTAGCCCACAAAATTTGGCAAAAATGAAAACAAAACAAGTTGTCATTACCATGATAAGAATGTATTTAGTTCTGAAGTTGTTTTGATAAAGAACACAAAAAGCCTTAAATCAAATTCAAAACAATCACAGATAACCTACATGCCAGGTGTGTCACCAAACCTGTTTTCCAACAAAAAAATACAGTCAACTTGAGAATCGCCTTCTTTTTTTCATGTCGGTTAAAAATAATCATAAATTTCTTTAGTTTTTCCGAGGCTCTAGCAGTACGCAACATGCGACAATTAAATTGATCCTTTAATGTGATCACGAATGATAACATCCTGTAGTTAAAACACGTGGAGTTGCAGAACTGTGGATTTTGCAGCCGAGGCCATGGAACCCGTAAAGAGCCCAAATATATATGGTTTATATCCCTAAAAGTATTTTCATTTCCATTTCGTACAATTTAATTTTTTTTCTTTTTAATTTTATTATTTAGACTCCACCTGCAATAAATTCTTGAACCACAAACAGAACCGTACTATACTTAATGATATTTATTTATTTAAAGCCTTTATTCCTGATTAATGACCAAGAATAAACTTTTTTTTATAATGCCTTTTGCAACATGTGATCGGTCCATGGACCTTGAGCGGCTGTTTTGTTATGATCTATTTGGTGTGCTAGGCTCGCCCGCCCTGTGTTAGGCTGCCTTCATCATATCAAATTCTTCTTTCTTTAGAATAAACTTAATACTAAATTATTTAATCTAGATATTTTATGACGTGTTTATTTTATAGGAAATGAAACTATTTTTCCAGATTTAAATCGCGTGTATTTGTTTTTTCAAACAAACCGACGTTTCTGGCCCTTTACAGGTCCCATGGTCACGGTTGACTGAAAAATAGTTTCATTTCCTATGTGTAACAATCGCGAAAACCTAAGAACTTGATAAATTTACACAGTTAAAGTTTTTTACAGACATCTAAACAATTTTCTACTTGCCAAATATACTGATATTTGTGTAAAGACTTACAAAAACTTTTGTCTCATTTTGAGGTAAGTAGATATCTTTCAATTGTTTCTTACAATATTCTAATGACGCTTTTATGGACTTGTAGAGAATCAAATTGTACATTTAGCATTAGTATAATTTAGAATTTCACACATTTTGAGTTACAACACTATTGCAATAGCAGTGCGATATCTGTATTCCATTGTATGAAATGAAAATTAAACTTACGGATTTAAATCATATATATTTGGGCTCTTTATGGAAAGGATGGATCCAATAACCTCTTCCAGATATTTCCATTTTTTCCTATCTCTTGCTATTTGCGTCCACACTCCTCCAGCAACGTATTTCAAATCATCTTCCCATTCTTGGGTAGCATTCTGTGATATCTTTTTTCCATTTACTAGTTTTTTCTCTCATCATGTGTCCTGCTCAATGCTATCCATACTTAATATGGTTTGGAATGAATATTATTATTATTATTAGAGTGGCTTCATTCAGGGCCTATGCATCCCGTTATCACTGCGACCATTGACTGATCTATTGTGATCACCACTAATTAAAGTGCAGAGCCAAGCTCGACAGCATTGAGGAACTGAAGGACTTTACTGGCTCCGACAGATTTAATGTCCTGTAACTTCGTACGACCATTCATCCATCAGGTGGACCATTGGGTGAGTAGATGAACAGGAGTTTCATCCGCCTTGTGGCAGAGTCTACATTCTCTATTCTCTCTCTGCCTAATATTTGACATGTGCTTGTGTAATCCACAATGCCCTGTTAAGGCTCTAGTTAAAATTCTTATGCCATTCCTGTCCAATAACAGAGATTCTCTACAGTGTTTGTCTCGGGAGAGGTGTGTTCTCATTTAGCAGAGTGAGCTTTGCCATGCTGTAACCTACCCCTATAAAGGGTTCGGGTCCAATAAATGTTTCCCTAACACTAGCCTTTGCCAGTTCTTCCGCTAACTCATTACCCTCGAAGTCAGAATGGCCTGGAACTCAGCGTAATACTTTGTAATACCAGTTTTAGGACTTTGTAGGACCAGTGTAATACTTTCCCCGAGAGTATTCAGTATATTTACACAGTTGGAATGAAGATACCAATGGTACTTATTCAGTATTATTGAGTACAGTAGCAGAGAAATGTCACAACATTCATTCTAAACTTAGAATTCTGATTTAAGGAAGTTGTTTACGTAAATGGTTATTATTAGTAAATGACATTGATAAATTGAACTATATTTAGGTATATTGAAATTGATTAATTGGCCAATTAGTTGTCTATGATTTTGCGCATTAGACATGTGGCACTCCATTGGGTCAGTGCAATGTTAGAGAGGGCACATTTGGACTAGTAAATACATTATATTTGTAAAAAAGTACTGAAAAAATCGATCTTAAATCGTCTACTTGCCAAGTTTCACTAAAATTGGTTACCGGAAAGTGCGCGAACCCGGATTCATCCCTTAGTTTGCCACCCTTAGAAGTGGAATATTTTCTTCGAATTTAAATGGAACCACTGTTGAGGTAACCTCTTTCCAACAAAGAAAGAATCATCAAAATCGGTTCACAAA